AGTAGAGTTAGAGTTGAGTTAGAGTAGAGTTAATATAGTTAGTAGAGGTAGTAGAGTTAGTAGAGTTAGAGTAGAGTTAGAGTAGAGTTAGTAGAGTTACAGTAGAGTTAGTAGAGGTAGTAGAGTTAGTAGAGTTAGAGTTGAGTTAGAGTAGAGTTAATATAGTTAGTAGAGGTAGTAGAGTTAGTAGAGTTAGAGTAGAGTTAGTAGAGTTAGTAGAGTAGAGTTAGAGTAGAGGTAGGGTAGAGTTAGAGTTAGAGTAGAGTTAGTAAAGGTAGGGTAGAGTTAGTAGTTAGAGTAGAGTTAGTGTAGAGTTAGTAGAGTAGCGTTAGTAGAGTTAGAGTAGAGTTAGTCGAGTTAGAGTAGAGTTAGTGTAGAGTTAGTGTAGAGTTAGAGTTGAGTTAGTAGAGTTAGTAGAGTTAGAGTAGAGTTAGAGTAGAGTTAGAGTTGAGTTAGAGTAGAGTTAGTGTAGAGTTAGAGTTGAGTTAGTAGAGTTAGTAGAGTTAGAGTAGAGTTAGTAGAGTTAGAGTAGAGTTAGTAGAGTTAGTAAAGTTAGTAGAGTTAGAGTTGAGTTAGAGTAGAGTTAATATAGTTAGTAGAGTTAGTAGAGTTAGAGTTAGTGTAGAGTTAGAGTTGAGTTAGTGTAGAGTTAGAGTTGAGTTAGAGTAGAGTTAGTAGAGTTAGAGTAGAGTTAGAGTAGAGTTAATATAGTTAGTAGAGTTAGTAGAGTAGAGTTAGAGTAGAGGTAGGGTAGAGTTAGAGTAGAGTTAGTAAAGTTAGAGTAGAGTTAGTAGAGTAGCGTTAGTAGAGTTAGAGTAGAGTTAGTAGAGGTAGGGTATAGTTAGTGTAGAGTTAGAGTAGAGTTAGTAGAGTTAGAGTAGAGTTAGTAGAGTTAAAGTAGAGTTAGAGTAGAGTTAGTAGAGGTAGTAGAGTTAGTAGAGTTAAAGTAGAGTTAGAGTAGAGTTAGTAGAGGTAGTATAGTTAGTAGAGTTAGTAGAGTTAGAGTAGAGTTAATATAGTTAGTAGAGTTAGTAGAGTTAGTTGAGTTAGAGTAGAGTTAGTAGAGGTAGTAGAGTTAATAGAGTTAGAGTAGAGTTAGTAGAGGTAGGGTAGAGTTAGTCGAGTTCAAGTAGATTTAGTAGAGTTAGTCTAGAGTAAGAGTAGAGTTAGAGTAGAGTTAGTAGAGTTAGAGTAGAGGTAGTGTAGAGTTTGTAGAGGTAGTAGAGTTAGTAGAGATAGAGTAGAGTTAGTAGAGTTAGAGTTGAGTTAGAGTAGGGTTAATATAGTTAGTAGAGGTAGTAGAGTTAGTAGAGTTAGAGTAGAGGTAGGGTAGAGTTAGTCGAGTTCGAGTAGAGATAGTGTAGAGGTAGAGTAGAGTTAGAGTAGAGTTAGAGTAGAGTTAGTAAAGGTAGAGTAGAGTTAGTCGAGTTAGAGTAGAGTTAGAGTAGAGTTAGTGTAGAGTTAGTAGAGGTAGTAGAGGTAGTAGAGTTAAAGTAGAGTTAGAGTAGAGTTAGTAGAGTTAGTGTAGAGTTAGTAGAGTAGAGTTAGTCGAGTTAGAGTAGAGTTAGAGTAGAGTTAGTGTAGAGTTAGTAGAGGTAGTAGAGGTAGTAGAGTTAGTAGAGTTAGAGTAGATTTAGTAGAGTTAGTAGAGTTAGAGTAGAGTAGCGTTAGTAGAGGTAGGGTAGAGTTAGTAGAGTAGAGTTAGAGTAGAGGTAGTAGAGGTAGTAGAGGTAGTAGAGTTAGTAGAGTTAGTAGAGTTAATATAGTTAGTAGAGTTAGTAGAGTTAGAGTAGAGTTAGAGTAGAGTTAGCGTAGAGTAGAGTTAGAGTAGAGTTGTTAGAGTAGAGTTAGAGTAGAGTTAGTAGAGGTAGAGTCTGGTATAGTTCAGAGTATAGTATGGAGTATAGTGTAAAGTGTAGTTTATACAGTTAAAGTATAGTAGATTGTAGTTTGTATATTTGAGTACAGTTTAAAGAGTATAGTTTGTGAACTATTTGGGCTACCGCTGTGATTGTCAAATCGATGACGCCGCTGACGACCGGCCGCCCCGTCGAGGCCGTCGCTTGCGCCGGCCGGTGCCGCGTTGGCGTCGGGAGCCGCTACGGCTCGGCGGGCCTCCGTCGCCTGGCGAGGCAAACGACGGCGGGAGGAGATGGCACGGAGGCCCTCGCCGTGGTGATGCCGGCCACTCGGTTGACAGCGACGTGGAGCGGCTCACCGAGGCCTCGTCGAGCGGTGGAATGCGAAAAATATTGTTAACAAAAAGGTTTCCGAGTTGCGACGTCTGGCCAAGATTCGAGCCGGAGATCGCTGGCGGCAAGGCCCCCTGAGAATGGGTCGCGAGAGGTCGGCCTGCGCCTCGCCGGGCGGACGGTTACATCGCGGAAATACATAAATGTTGCGTCGTTAAAACCCGCCACCACCCGACACAGCCAACCAGCAAGGGTTGTCACGTCAACAGAACTGGCCACTAGTACATCAACACCGGTGTGCTGTACTAGAGACGAATTGACCACTAGTACAGCAACACCGGTGTTGCTGTACTAGTCACGAATTGGCCACTAGTACAGCAACACCGGTGTGCTGTACTAATGACGAATTGGCCACTAGTACATCAATACCGGTGTTGATGTACTAGTGACGAATTGGCCACTAGTACATCAACACCGGTGTTGATGTACTAGTGACGAATTGGCCACTAGTACATCAACACCGGTGTGCTGTACTAGAGGACGAATTGACCACTAGTACAGCAACACCGGTGTGCTGTACTAGTCACGAATTGGCCACTAGTACATCAACACCAGTGTTGATGTACTAGTGACTAATTGGCCACTAGTACATCAACACCAGTGTTGATGTACTAGTGACTAATTGGCCACGTTCTGTTGACGTGACACAACCTTTACTAGCTGGCTGTGTCGGGTGGTGGCGGGTTTTAACGACACAATATTTATATATTTACGCGATCTTAACCCAAATAAACCCCCCCCCCCCCCCCCCTTATGGATGACATTGGTCGCGAAAGCCCGCGACACGTGACACGTGACACGCGTGTCACGTGACACGTGTCACGCGTGTCACGTGTCACGGCGGGCGACAACCTGGGACTGCTTTTCATTCCGCCGGCGGTCGGGAACGCCCCCACCGAGCACGTGGACGCGTGGACGCGATGACTCGTGATGACTCGTGATGACGCGTGGACGCGATGACGCGTGGACGCGATGACGCGATGACGCGTGATGACTCGTGATGACGTGATGACGCGTGGACGCGATGACTCGTGATGACGTGATGATGCGATGACTCGTGATGACGTGATGACGCGATGACTCGTGATGACGCGATGACTCGCGATGACGCGATGACTCGCGATGACTCGCGATGACTCGTGATGACTCGTGATGACGCGATGACGCGTGGACTCCTGGCCGCCCGCGCTCCCTCCTGTCGTAAACGACCCCGGCCGGCACAAACGAGAGCCCCAAACGACGCGGCTTTTACCGCGTGGAAGCTGCTGGGGTTTTTTCGGCTTTGGCGACCGGTGTTGCCCAGGGCGGTGGTCCAGGTGCTCTGAAACGCGAGGTGGTGACGGTGGCGGTGGCGGCGGCGGCGGCGGCGTCCACTCGGGACGTGGGGAGGGAAGGACCCCGGAGAAACAAATCCACGCCACCACCACGGGGAGAGAGGCACGCAAACTCCAAATATACAGCAGCAGGCGTCAGGATCGAACCCACAACCTCCCGCGTAGCAGGCGAGGGAGTTGACATCTCACGACACACAAATACAGCAGCAGCAGCAGGCGGCGTCGGGATCGAGCCCACGACCTCCCGCGTAGCAGGCGATGGAGTTGACATCTCCTGGCCACCGCGGTACGAGGGATGACGTCGACGAGTCACAGTCAAGAGTTTTACTCCTCTGCACGGAAGAGATTGCGGATCTCAGCGTTTACAGCATTCGGTTGCGTCCGGAAACAAAAGATAAAGCCCCACCCCACCCCGCGCGCTACCCGTGTAGCCTTCACAGACTGTTGGGGCAAGTGCTGTAAGCGAGTAGCACACCAGGTACTCATTTGAGGCCGAGTCGACCTAGGGGAGGCCCACCGAACCGCTTCAGGCGAGCGAGAAATCGAGCCCGGGGTTCGTAGCGGAGCACAGCGCTAACCGCTGCACCACCGCTCCCGAAACGCACGCAACACGCACACACGACACACACTCACGACAAACAACGACACACACACACGACACTCACGCGCTACAGACGTGCACACATTGCACGAGAGAGTTCTCCCTTAGCGATTTAACAAAGAGTTAAGAATTAAATAATTTTTTTGTTTAAAAAGTAAAAATCCTTAAGTAGATCCGGTAAAATTACGCTCGAGGGGAGAGAGAGAGACGGAGCCACCAGCACACCGTGGACTAAACGTCGGTCGGAATGAATCCCCAATTAGCGCCACGGACTGCTGCAGCGTGAACCACAGCCATCATCATCACCACCATCATCATCATCACCATCATCATCACCATCATTGTCGTAAACAACTACACACATCCGTCAACTCCACAGTCACCACAGTGACCGTCAACACCGCCGCGTGCGAACGAGCGTGCGAGTGAGCGTGTGAGCGTGTGAGCGTGCGAGCATGCGAGCGAGCGTGTGAGTGAGTGAGTGAGTGTGAGCATGTGAGCGTGCGAGCGAGTGTGTGAGCGTGCGAGCGAGTGTGAGTGTGCGAGTGTGCGAGTGAGCGTGCGAGTGTGAGTGTGCGAGTGTGTGTGTGTGCGAGCGAGTATGTGAGCGTGTGTGCGAGCGAGTGAGTGAGTGAGTGTGCGTGTGAGTGTGTGAGCGAGTGTGCGTGTGAGTGTGTGAGCGAGTGTGCGAGCGAGTGTGTGTGCGAGCAAGTGTGTGTGCGAGCGAGTGTGTGTGTGAGTGAGTGTGCGAGTGTGTGTGCGAGCGAGCGTGCATGTGAGTGTGCGTGTGAGTGTGCGTGTGAGTGTGTGAGCGAGTGTGCGAGCGAGTGTGTAAGTGTGCGAGCGAGCGTGTGAGTGAGCGAGTGTGCGAGTGTGCGAGCGTGTGAGTGTGTGAGCGAGTGAGCGGGGCGAGTCTCAGGTCCACAGCTCGGAGGGCATGAGGCCCTCCTTGGTGCCGAGGGCCGGGAGGAGGTTCTCGTCGCGCAGGAAGTAGAGGGGGAAGTGGACGAGGAAGCCACGGACGTCGGCCAGCCGCGCGAGGGCCCCCGCCGGGTCGGCTCGCGCCATCGCCGGCTCCTCCACAAAGGCCGCCAGCTGACGACGGTTCAGCACAAAGTCTGACGGCAAACAGCGGAACACCTGGGGGGGGGGGGGAGAGGGGGGGTGAGCGCCTCGGCGTCTCCCCCCGTGTCTCCCCCCGTGTCTCCCCCCACGTCTCCCCACGTGTCTCCCCCCACGTCTCCCCGCGTGTCTCCCCGCGTGTCTCCCCGCGTGTCTCCCCGCGTGTCTCCCCGCGTGTCTCCCCCCGTGTCTCCCCCGTGTCTCCCCCGTGTCTCCCCCCGTGTCTCCCCGCGTGTCTCCCCCCGTGTCTCCCCGTGTCTCCCCCCGTGTCTCCCCGCGTGTCTCCCCCCGTGTCTCCCCCGTGTCTCCCCCGTGTCTCCCCCCGTGTCTCCCCCGTGTCTCCCCGCGTGTCTCCCCCCGTGTCTCCCCGCGTGTCTCCCCCCGTGTCTCCCCCGTGTCTCCCCCGTGTCTCCCCCCGTGTCTCCCCCGTGTCTCCCCCGTGTGTCTCCCCGTGTCTCCCCCCGTGTCTCCCCCGTGTCTCCCCCGTGTCTCCCCCGTGTCTCTCCCCGTGTCTCCCCCCGTGTCTCCCCCGTGTCTCCCCCGTGTCTCCCCCGTGTCTCCCCCCGTGTCTCCCCCCGTGTCTCCCCCGTGTCTCCCCGCGTGTCTCCCCCCGTGTCTCCCCGCGTGTCTCCCCCCGTGTCTCCCCCGTGTCTCCCCCGTGTCTCCCCCCGTGTCTCCCCCGTGTCTCCCCCGTGTGTCTCCCCGTGTCTCCCCCGTGTCTCCCCCCGTGTCTCCCCCGTGTCTCCCCCGTGTCTCTCCCCGTGTCTCCCCCCGTGTCTCCCCCGTGTCTCCCCCGTGTCTCCCCCCGTGTCTCCCCCGTGTCTCCCCGCGTGTCTCCCCGCGTGTCTCCCCGCGTGTCTCCCCCCGTGTCTCCCCCCGTGTCTCTCCCCGTGTCTCCCCGTGTCTCCCCCCGTGTCTCCCCGCGTGTCTCCCCCCGTGTCTCCCCCGTGTCTCCCCCGTGTCTCCCCCCGTGTCTCCCCCGTGTCTCCCCCGTGTGTCTCCCCGTGTCTCCCCCCGTGTCTCCCCGTGTCTCCCCCGTGTCTCCCCCGTGTCTCTCCCCGTGTCTCCCCCCGTGTCTCCCCCGTGTCTCCCCCGTGTCTCCCCCCGTGTCTCCCCCGTGTCTCCCCGCGTGTCTCCCCCCGTGTCTCCCCGCGTGTCTCCCCCCGTGTCTCCCCCGTGTCTCCCCCGTGTCTCCCCCCGTGTCTCCCCCGTGTCTCCCCCGTGTGTCTCCCCGTGTCTCCCCCCGTGTCTCCCCCCGTGTCTCCCCCGTGTCTCCCCGTGTCTCTCCCCGTGTCTCCCCCCGTGTCTCCCCCGTGTCTCCCCCGTGTCTCCCCCCGTGTCTCCCCCGTGTCTCCCCGCGTGTCTCCCCGCGTGTCTCCCCCCGTGTCTCCCCCGTGTCTCTCCCCGTGTCTCCCCGTGTCTCCCCCCGTGTCTCCCCGCGTGTCTCCCCCCGTGTCTCCCCCGTGTCTCCCCCCGTGTCTCCCCCGTGTCTCCCCCGTGTGTCTCCCCGTGTCTCCCCCCGTGTCTCCCCCGTGTCTCCCCCGTGTCTCCCCCGTGTCTCCCCCGTGTCTCCCCCCATGTCTCCCCCGTGTCTCCCCCGTGTCTCTCCCCGTGTCTCCCCCGTGTCTCCCCGCGTGTCTCCCCCCGTGTCTCCCCGCGTGTCTCCCCCCGTGTCTCCCCCGTGTCTCCCCCGTGTCTCCCCCCGTGTCTCCCCCGTGTCTCCCCCGTGTGTCTCCCCCGTGTGTCCCCCCGTGTCTCCCCCCGTGTCTCCCCCGTGTCTCCCCCGTGTCTCTCCCCGTGTCTCCCCCCGTGTCTCCCCCGTGTCTCCCCGCGTGTCTCCCCCCGTGTCTCCCCGCGTGTCTCCCCGCGTGTCTCTCCCCGTGTCTCCCCCCGTGTCTCCCCGCGTGTCTCCCCCGTGTCTCCCCGCGTGTCTCCCCCCGTGTCTCCCCACGTGTCTCCCCGCGTGTCTCTCCCCGTGTCTCCCCCCGTGTCTCCCCGCGTGTCTCCCCCGTGTCTCCCCGCGTGTCTCCCCCCGTGTCTCCCCACGTGTCTCTCCCCGTGTCTCCCCGCGTGTCCCCGTCACCTTCTCGTAGACGGTGGCGTTGCGTCCGGCCGTCGCCATCCACACCTCCTTGAAGAAGTGGTCACACACGGGGTCAGAGATGTCCACCTCGGGAGAGTCGAGCAGCCCCAGCACCAACCTGGGGGGGGGGAGATATTCATCACCCACAGACAAAGATCCCCCGTGTAGCCTCCAACAGACTGTAGGGGCAAGTGCTGTTAGCGAGTAGCAGCAGCACCTGTGAAGGTAGACACAGACAAAGATCCCCCGTGTAGCCTCTAACAATGTAGGGGCAAGTGCTGTTAGTGGCGAGTAGCAGCAGCACCTCTGAAGGTAGACACAGACAAAGATCCCCCGTGTAGCCTCTAACAGACTGCAGGGGAAAGTGCTGTTAGTAGCGAGTAGCAGCAGCACCTGTGAAGGTAGACACAGACAAAAGTCCCCCGTGTAGCCTCTAACAGACTGCAGGGGCAAGTGCTGTTAGTAGCGAGTAGCAGCAGCACCTGTGAAGGTAGACACAGACAAAGATCCCCCGTGTAGCCTCTAACAGACTGTAGGGGCAAGTGCAGTTAGTAGCGAGTAGCAGCAGCACCTGTGAAGGTAGACACAGACAAAGATCCCCCGTGTAGCCTCTAACAGACTGCAGGGGCAAGTGCTGTTAGTGGCGAGTAGCAGCAGCACCTCTGAAGGTAGACACAGACAAAGATCCCCCGTGTAGCCTCTAACAGACTGCAGGGGAAAGTGCTGTTAGTAGCGAGTAGCAGCAGCACCTGTGAAGGTAGACACAGACAAAGATCCCCCGTGTAGCCTCTAACAGACTGCTGGGGCAAGTGCTGTTAGTAGCGAGTAGCAGCAGCACCCGTGAAGGTAGACACAGACAAAAGTCCCCCGTGTAGCCTCTAACAGACTGCAGGGGCAAGTGCTGTTAGTAGCGAGTAGCAGCAGCACCTGTGAAGGTAGACACAGACAAAAGTCCCCCGTGTAGCCTCTAACAGACTGCAGGGGCAAGTGCTGTTAGTAGCGAGTAGCAGCAGCACCTGTGAAGGTAGACACAGACAAAGATCCCCTGTGTAGCCTCTAACAGACTGCTGGGGCGAGTGCTGTTAGTAGCGAGTAGCAGCAGCATCTGTGAAGGTAGACACAGACAAAGATCCCCTGTGTAGCCTCTAACAGACTGCAGGAGCAAGTGCTGTTAGTAGCGAGTAGCAGTAGCACCTGTGAAGGTAGACACAGACAAAGATCCCCCGTGTAGCCTCTAACAGACTGCAGGGGCAAGTGCTGTTAGTAGCGAGTAGCAGCACCTGTGAAGGTAGACACAGACAAAGATCCCCCGTGTAGCCTCTAACAGACTGCAGGGGCAAGTGCTGTTAGTAGCGAGTAGCAGCAGCATCTATGAAGGTAGACACAGACAAAGATCCCCCGTGTAGCCTCTAACAGACTGCAGGAGGAAGTGCTGTTAGTAGCGAGTAGCAGCACCTGTGAAGGTAGACACAGACAAAGATCCCCCGTGTAGCCTCTAACAGACTGCAGGGGCAAGTGCTGTTAGTAGCGAGTAGCAGCAGCATCTGTGAAGGTAGACACAGACAAAGATCCCCCGTGTAGCCTCTAACAGACTGCAGGAGCAAGTGCTGTTAGTAGCGAGTAGCAGCAGCACCTGTGAAGGTAGACACAGACAAAGATCCCCCGTGCGCCTGCCATTCTTCCACTCCGGTGGTGGGTGTACACCCAGGACCCCATTCCAACCTAAAGTGGCCTGGTCTCAGTTATCTGATGAAAGTTGCAAGTGAGAATTTCATCATCGCTTGCGGCTGGGATTGGCATCGTCCCCGACTCCTCCTGATGTCGAGGGTAAATGGGCGAGGTTTAGGACTGTGACTCATGCAGCTGCAATGGCTGCTTTGGGTACGCGGTCCAGACCTCCCCAGAGACCCTGGCTGACAGAGGAGGTGTTCAGGATGGTTGAGAAAAAGCGACAGGCCCACTGTCATCGGCTACAGAATCCCACGTCAGAGAATGAGGAGGCTTAACACAGCCTTCGCTCGGAGGTTCGGAGAGCCGTGAGGCGCTGCAAGGATGGGTGGTGGTCGCGGGTTGCTGAGGAGATGGAGTCTGCCTCAGTGGCCCGCGATCACAAATCTATTTAACTCCATCAAAAAAGTAACCTGCAGCGCCACACCTATTACCATCATTAGGGGAAAAAAGCGGTGATCCAATCTCCGACCCCCAGGAACAGGTTTGCAGATTTGCTGAGCATTTCTGTGAGGTCCTGGGGGAGGGAAAATCCCTCAGCCAGGAAAACATCGTGGCACAAAGTGAGGATGACCCTGCTGAGGCTGTGGTGCCTCAAATATTGGAAGAAGTCACCCCCTGTGAGTGGCTGGCTGAGGTGCCATCTGTTGAGGAAGTACTGAAGGCGATCCGGAGTCTGAGACCAGGAAAGGCAGCGGGCAGAGATGATCTCCCAAGCGAAATGCTGAGGGAGGGTGGCGTTTGTGCACAGACTGCCATATATGAGATCATAACAACGGTCTGGGCCGCTGGACGGGTTCCGCAGGATTGGAAGGATGCCCTGGTGGTCCCCCTCTTTAAAAAGGGGGACCGCACAGACTGTAACAACTACAGGGGCATCTCACTCCTCAGTGTGCCGGGAAAGGTCCTGGCAAGGATTATTCAGCATCGCCTTGCCAGGCACGCTGAGGAGAGGCTTGCGGAGCCCCAATGCGGTTTCAGGAAAGGGCGGTCCTGCACAGATGCCATATTTTCTGTCCGTCTGCTACAGCAGAGGTGTAGGGAATTCCAACAAGACCTACATCTCTGCTTTATTGACCTGGTCAAGGCCTATGATACCATCAGTAGGCCTGGGCTCTGGGTCGTTCTTCGTGCTTTTGGAGTACCTGACCCTCTGCTCACGATCATTAAGGACCTTCATGATGGTGAGCGGGCCCGGGTAAAACTACGTGGCCGGGAGTCAGAGCCATTCCCTGTACGCCTTGGGGTGCGACAGGGATGTCCTCTGGCTCCCACATTATTTAACATCTATTTTGACCACGTAGTTCGTGAAGCCTTCAATAGCTGTACCGGGGGTTGACCAATAGGGATGGCTCCCTATTGGTCAACCACGTTATGTATGCTGATGATTTGGTAATAGCTGCTCAGTCAGAGGAGGAGTTGGAGACGCTGCTGCTGAGACTGTAGCATGCCACTAAGAGGTGGGGCCTTACCATCAGCCCCACCAAAACTAAGCACCTGCCTGGGTATTTTGTACCATCGGATACTCCACCCCCACAACTCCCAATCGGTGATGGGGCAGTTGTGGAGAGAGTGGAGAGTTTCCCATACCTGGGCAGTGTGCTTATGACTGGCTCCAGTTTAACAGCAGAGGTCTCACTCCGAATCAGTCGAGCGGCAATATCTTTTCATCGGTTGTGTAACGCTGTGTGGAAGCTACCTGGTCTGTCGCTCCGCACTAAGCTTCAGGTCTTCTCGGCCACGGTCATTCCCTCCCTTCTCTACGCTTGCGAAACGTGGACCCCCCTAATGGAACATCTTTGCCGGTTAGAAACATTTAGGCTGGCCTGCCTACGATCCATCCTGGGTTTAACCAGACTGGATTGTGTGAGGAGCTCACAAATCCTTGAAAGATCTGGGCAGGGTCCCATCGGTGAGCTCCTCCAGCAGGCAAGGCTGCGATGGCTGGGTCATGTAGCCCGCATGCCCAGCCACCGCATGCCGAAACAGCTTTTGTTTGGCCGGATTGAGGGGGCTAAGCGGGCGCGGCACGGGCTAGAGAAGAGATGGAGTGATGTGGTACAGGAGGACGTGGAGCTGAGTGGGCTTGCCGATGACTGGTACCAGCGGTGTCAAGATCGGCCTCTGTGGAGGAGGCTCGTGAGGGATGCTACTGGTCAGTTGGAGGCAGTCGCCCTCCAACAACAACGGAGGGCGGAGGAGCGACGCTCAGAAGAACGAGCGGAGCGCCGGGTGGCTAAAGCACAGCAGGTTGGCACAGTAGGGGGCACAGGTGGTGCATCAGCCAGTCATCTCAGTCAGTCGACCCGTGGCACCTGGGTCTGCCCCGTGACCTCCTGCCAGCGGGCGTTCGACACTTCGTGGCCTCAGGGTGCACATAGCCTGGCACAAGCGTCGTGGTGACGTCACCGCCACTTAGTGGCGAATGGCGGTTGTTGTGTACAGGTGAATGTGTGTGTGTGTATGTGCGTACCTGAAGCAGTAGGTGCGCATGCTGTGTGTGTGCGTGTGTGTGTGTACATGTGTGTGTGTGTGTACAGGTGAATGTGTGTGTGTGTGTACGTGTGTGTGTGTGTACAGGTGAATGTGTGTGTGTGTACAGGTGAATGTGTGTGTGTGTGTGTACGTGTGTGTGTGTGTACAGGTGAATGTGTGTGTGTATGTGCGTACCTGAAGCAGTAGGTGCGCAAGCTGTGTGTGTGTTTGTACAGGTGAATGTGTGTATGTAACGTGTGGTATGTGTGTGTGTGTACCTGAAGCAGTAGGTGCGCAGGCTGTGTGTGTGTGTACAGGTGAATATGTGTATGTGTGTGTGTACAGGTGAATGTGTGTGTGTGTATGTGTGTGTGTACAGGTGAATGTGTGTGTATGTGTGTGTGTACAGGTGAATGTGTGTGTATGTGTGTACATGTGAATGTGTGTGTGTGTGTATGTGTGTGTGTGTACCTGAAGCAGTAGGTGCGCAGGCTGTGTGTGCGTGTGTGTGTGTACAGGTGAATGTGTGTGTATGTGTGTACAGGTGAATGTGTGTGGGTGTATGTGTGTGTGTGTACCTGAAGCAGTAGGTGCGCAGGCTGTGTGTGCGTGTGTGTGTGTACGTGTGTGTGTACAGGTGAATGTGTGTGTGCATGTGTGTACCTGAAGCAGTAGGTGCGCAGGCTGTGTGTGTGTGTGTGTACAGGTGAATATGTGTGTGTGTACAGGTGAATGTGTGTGTGTGTACGTGTGTGTGTACAGGTGTGTGTGTGTGTACGTGTGTGTGTGTACCTGAAGCAGTAGGTGCGCAGGCTGTGTGTGCGTGTGTGTGTGTACCTGAAGCAGTAGGTGCGCAGGCTGTGTGTGCGTGTGTGTGTGTACGTGTTTGTGTGTGTGTACAGGTTAATGTGTGTGTGTGTGTGTAAGTGTGTGTGTACAGGTGAATGTGTGTGTGTGTGTGTATGTGTGCGTGTACCTGAAGCAGTAGGTGCGCAGGCTGTGTGCGAAGGCTCCGGCCTGGTAGGGCTTCCCGTCCATGGTGGAGGCCACGAAGTTCGTGTCCTCAGCGACCAGCGCCACCTCGCTGTCTCTGCGCCCCAGCATGCTGCGGTCATTGATGTTGGCCGAGCCTGGGGGTCAGCAGTGGGGTCAGCAGTGGGGTCAGGGATGGTGAGGTCAGCAGTGGGGTCAGCGGTGGGGTCAGCAGTGGGGTCAGCAGTGGGGTCAGCAGTGGGGTCAGGGATGGTGAGGTCAGCAGTGGGGTCAGCAGTGGGGCCAGCAGTGGGGTCAGGGATGGTGAGGTCGGTGATGGTGAGGTCGGTGATGGTGAGTCGGTGATGGTGACGTCGGTGATGGTGAGGACGGTGATGGTGAGGACGGTGATGGTGGGATCGGTGATGGTGATGGTGAAGTCGGTGATGGTGAGAACGGTGATGGTGAGGTCGGTGATGGTGAGGTCGGTGATGGTGAGGTCGGTGATGGTGAGGACGGTGATGGTGAGGTCGGTGATGGTGAGGTCGGTGATGGTGATGGTGAGGACGGTGATGGTGAGGTCGGTGATGGTGAGGACGGTGATGGTGATGGTGAGGTCGGTGATGGTGAGGTCGGTGATGGTGATGGTGAGGACGGTGATGGTGAGGACGATGATGGTGAGGACGGTGATGGTGAGGATGGTGATGGTGAGGACGATGATGGTGATGGTGAGGACGGTGATGGTGAGGTCGGTGATGCTGATGGTGAGGACGGTGATGGTGAGGTCGGTGATGCTGATGGTGAGGACGGTGATGGTGAGGTCGGTGATGGTGAGGACGGTGATGCTGATGGTGAGGACGGTGATGGTGAGGTCGGTGATGGTGAGGACGGTGATGGTGAGGTCGGTGATGGTGATGGTGAGGACGGTGATGGTGAGGACGGTGATGGTGATGGTGAGGACGGTGATGGTGAGGTCGGTGATGCTGATGGTGAGGACGGTGATGGTGAGGACGGTGATGGTGAGGACGGTGATGGTGAGGTCGGTGACGATGATGGTGAGGACGGTGATGGTGAGGACGGTGACGGTGATGGTGAGGTCGGTGATGGTGATGGTGAGGACGGTGATGGTGAGGACGGTGATGGTGAGGACGGTGACGGTGATGGTGAGGTCGGTGATGGTGATGGTGAGGTCTTTGGGGGTCGGTGGGGTTCAGCGAGCGGTAAGTTCGGTGTGGTGTGGTGTGTGTGGTGTGGTGTGTGTGGTGCGTGTGTGTGGTGTGTGTGGTGTAGTTGTGTGTGGTGTGGTGTGTGTGGTGAGTGTGGTGTGTGTGGTGTGTGTGTGGTGTGTGTCTGTGGTGTGTGTGGTGTGGTGTGGTGTGTGTGGTGTGGTGTGTGTGGTGTGGTAGTGAGTGTGGTGTGGTGTGATGCGGTGTGTGTGTGTGCGGTGTTCCCCACCGATGATCACCGTGGTGTCGTCCACCACCATGAGTTTGCTGTGAACGTAAACCAGCTCCGTCACGGGGTGGCCGCCAAGCTCGGCGTGCGTGCGCAGGCCGCAGAACGACACGTGGTTCACCCACGCAGACCCCACTAACACACACACATAGTAGACACACACACAGTACACACACACACAGTACACACACACAGTACACACACAGTGAGTACATAGTGGTTCACCCACGCAGACCCCACTAGTACACACACACAGTGAGTACACACACACAGTGAGTACACACACACACAGTGAGTACACACACACAGTGAGTACACACACACACAGTGAGTACACACACAGTGAGTACACGTGGTTCACCAACGCAGACCCCACTAACACACACACACACACAGTGAGTACACACACACACACACAGTGAGTACACACACACAGTACACACACAGTGAGTACACACACACAGTGAGTACACACACACAGTACACACACAGTGAGTACACGTGGTTCACCCACGCAGACCCCACTAACACACACACACAGCGAGTACACACACACAGTGAGTACACACACACAGTGAGTACACACACACAGTGAGTACACACACACAGTGAGTACACAGTGGTTCACCCACGCAGACCCCACTAGTACACACACACAGTGAGTACACACACACACAGTGAGTACACACACACAGTACACACACAGTGAGTACACACACAGTGAGTACACACAGTGAGTACACGTGTTCACCCACGCAGACCCCACTAGTACACACACACAGTGAGTACACACACACAGTACACACACAGTGAGTACACACAGTGAGTACACGTGGTTCACCCACGCAGACCCCACTAGTACACACACACAGTACACACACAGTGAGTACACACACACAGTACACACACAGTGAGTACACACACAGTGAGTACACACAGTGAGTACACGTGGTTCACCCACGCAGACCCCACTAGTACACACACAGTGAGTACACACACAGTGAGTACACACACACAGTACATACACAGTGAGTACACACACAGTGAGTACACACAGTGAGTACACGTGGTTCACCCACGCAGACCCCACTAGTACACACACACAGTGAGTACACGTGGTTCACCCACGCAGACCCCACTAGCACACACACACACAGTGAGTACACAGTGAGTACACACAGTGAGTACACACACAGTGAGTACACGTGGTTCACCCACGCAGACCCCACTAACACACACACACAGTACACACACACAGTGAGTACACACACACAGTACACACACAGTGAGTACACGTGGTTCACCCACGCAGACCCCATTAGCACACACACAGTGAGTACACACACACACAGTACACACACAGTGAGTACACAGTGGTTCACCCACGCAGACCCCACTAGTACACACACACACATAGTACACAGTGAGTACACACAGTGAGTACACACACAGTACACACACAGTACACACGCAGTGAGTATACAGTGAGTACACACAGCGAGTACACACACAGTGAGTACACACACAGTGAGTACACAGTGGTTCACCCACGCAGACCCTACTAGTACACACACACAGTACACACACAGTGAGTACACACACACAGTGAGTACACGTGGTTCACCCATGCAGACCCCACTAGCACACAGTGAGTACAAAGTACACACAGTGAGTACACACACAGTGAGAACACGTGGTTCACCCACGCAGACCCCACTAGTACACACACAGTGAGTACACACAGTGAGTACACACAGTGGTTCACCCACGCAGACCCCACTAGTAAACACACACACACAGTGAGTACACACACACAGCGAGTACACACAGCGAGTACACACAGTGGTTCACCCACGCAGACCCCACTAGCACACAGTGAGTACGCACAGTGAGTACACACGCACACAGTGAGTACACAGTGAGTACACACGCACACAGTGAGTACACAGTGAGTACACACACAGTGAGTACATACACACAGTGAGTACACACACAGTACACACACAGTGAGTACACATACACACAGTGAGTACACACACAGTGAGTACATACAGTGAGTACACAATGGTTCACCCACGCAGACCCCACTAGCACACACACACACAGTGAGTACACACACACAGTACACACAGTGAGTACACACAGTGAGTACACAGTGAGTACACACACAGTGAGTACACACACAGTGAGTACACAGTGAGTACACACAGTGAGTACACACACAGTACACACAGTGAGTACACACACAGTGAGTACACACACAGTGAGTACACACACAGTGAGTACACACACAGTACACACAGTGAGTACACACACAGTACACACAGTGAGTACACACACAGTGAGTACACACACACTGAGTACACACATTGGTCGCAGTGGCGGTTGGAGTGTGGTGGTGATGATGATGATGGTGGTGATGGTGGTGGTGATGATGATGGTGGTGATGGTGATGATGGTGGTGATGGTGATGATGGTGATGATGGTGGTGGTGATGATGGTGATGATGGTGATGGTGGTGATGATGGTGGTGATGGTGGTGGTGATGATGGTGGTGGTGGTGATGATGGTGATGGTGGTGATGGTGGTGGTGAGTTGGTGGTGGTGATTTGGTGGTGGTGATTTGGTGGTGAGTTGGTGGTGAGTTGGTGGTGATGGTGGTGGTGATGGTGGTGGTGGCGATGGTGATGGTGGTGAGTTGGTGACGATGGTGGTGATGGTGGTGATGGTGGTGGTGGTGATGGTGGTGGTGATGGTGGTGGTGTTGGTGTTGGTGGCGTTGGTGGTGGTGGTGTTGGTGGTGAGTTGGTGGTCGTGGTGGTGGTGGTAGTGGTGGTGGTGAGTTGGTGGTGGTGAGTTGGTGGTGGTGAGTTAGTGGTGGTGTTAGTGGTGGTGGTGAGTTGGTGGTGGTGGTGAGTTGGTGGTGGTAGTGAGTTGGTGGTGGTGAGTTGGTGGTGGTGAGTTGGTGGTGGTGGTGTTGGTGGTGAGTTGGTGGTCGTGGTGGTTGTGGTGGTGAGTTGGTGGTGGTAGTGAGTTAGTGGTGGTGGTGGTAGTGGTGGTGGTGGTGAGTTGGTGGTGGTGGTGAGTTGGTGGTGGTGGTGAGTTGGTGGTGGTGGTGGTGTTGGTGGTGTTGGTGGTGTTGGTGTTAGTGGTGTTGGTGGTAAGTTGGTGGTGAGTTGGTGGTGAGTTGGTGGTGGTGGTGAGTTAGTGGTGGTGGTGAGTTGGTGGTGGTGGTAGTAGTGGTGGTGGTGAATTGGTGGTGGTGGTGGTGAATTGGTGGTGGTGAGTTGGTGGTGGTGAGTTGGTGGTGGTGAGTTGGTGGTGGTGGTGAGTTGGTGGTGGTAGTGGTGGTGTTGGTGGTGTTGGTGGTGTTGGTGGTGTTGGTGTTAGTGGTGTTGGTGGTGAGTTGGTGGTGAGTTGGTGGTGGTGGTGAGTTAGTGGTGGTGGTGAGTTAGTGGTGGTGGTGAGTTGGTGGTGGTGGTGGTGAATTGGTGGTGGTGAGTTGGTGGTGGTGGTGAGTTGGTGGTGGTGGTAAGTTGGTGGTGGTGGTGGTAGTGGTGGTGTTGGTGGTGATGATGGTGGTGTTGGTGTTAGTGGTGGTGGTGGTGATGGTGGTGTTGGTGTTAGTGGTGGTGGTGGTGATGGTGGTGTTGGTGTTAGTGGTGGTGGTGGTGATGGTGGTGTTGGTGTTAGTGGTGGTGGTGATGGTGGTGTTGGTGTTAGTGGTGGTGGTGGTGGTGGTCACCCTCGGCAGTCAACCTCTCCACGATGGAATAGCGACCACGGCACATGGTCCTGCACAGTCACACACACACACAGTGACACACACAGTCACACACACAGTCACACACACACAGTCACACACACAGTCACACACACACAGTTACACAGTCACGCACACACACAGTGACACACACAGTGACACACACAGTCACACACACACAGTCACACACACACACAGTGACACACACAGTCACACACACACACAGTGACACACAGACAGTCACACACACACAGTCACACACACACACAGCGACACACACAGTCACACACACACACAGTCACACACACACACATTGAGCGGGAATCGAACCCGGGTCGCCAGGTTTATAGCGCAGCACGCTAACCGCTACACTACCGCTCCCCACGAACGCCCGCGGGCGTTCGTACATGGTGGTGTGGTGGTGAGTCTGTGGGTCTCACCGGTAGTTGAAGTGCATGATGGTGTGGTGGTGAGTCTAGGGGTCTCTGTGTGGTGGTGGTGAGTCTATGGGTCTCTGTGTGGTGGTGGTGGTGTTGAGTCTGTGGGTCTATGTGTGGTGGTGGTGGTGGTATGTCTGTGGGTCGCATCGGTAGTTGAAGTGCATGGTGTGGTGGTGAGTCTGTGGGTCTCTGTGTGGTGGTGGTGAGTCTGTGGGTCTCTGTGGGTGTCTGTGTGGTGAGTCTATGGGTCTCTGTGTGGTGGTGGTGAGTCTGTGGGTCTCTGTGTGGTGGTGGTGGTGGTGCTGAGTCTGTGGGCCTCACCGGTAGTTGAAGTGCATGATGGTGTGGTGGTGAGTCTGTGGGTCTCTGTGTGGTGGTGGTGATGGTGGTGGTGAGTCTGTGGGTCTCACCGGTAGTTGAAGTGCATGATGGTGTGGTGGTGAGTCTGTGGGTCTCTGTGTGGTGGTGATGGTGAGTCTGTGGGTCTCTGTGTGGTGGTGGTGGTGGTGAGTCTGTGGGTCTCTGTGTGGTGGTGGTGGTGGTGGTGAGTCTGTGGGTCTCTGTGTGGTGGTGGTGGTGCTGAGTCTGTGGGCCTCACCGGTGGTTGAAGTGCATGATGGTGTGGTGGTGAGTCTGTGGGTCTCTGTGTGGTGGTGGTGGTGATGGTGGTGGTGAGTCTGTGGGTCTCACCGGTAGTTGAAGTGCATGATGGTGTGGTGGTGAGTCTGTGGGTCTCTGTGTGGTGGTGATGGTGAGTCTGTGGGTCTCTGTGTGGTGGTGGTGGTGAGTCTGTGGGTCTCTGTGTGGTGGTGGTGAGTCTATGGGTCTCTGTGTGGTGGTGGTGAGTCTGTGGGTCTCACCGGTAGTTGAAGTGCATGATGGTGTGGATGGCGCTGGCACCGCCGCTGGAGATGTCCCCCTCGAACCCGGGCAGCAGGGGCAGCACCACGAACACGCGGAACCGGCGACCCTCCCTGCACGCAAAGGCAAAGGTCCCCCGTGTAGCCTCAGCTGACTGTTGGGGCAAGTGCTGTTGGCGAAGGCCGGGCACCGTGGCTACACGGAGGGGTTTGGCCAGGAACCAACACACGCCCGGCCGCCTTTGTCTCCCCCAGTGCTGGCGATGTTTACAACATCGCACACGGGCACTCACTTTGAGGCCGAGCCGACCTAGGGGAGGCCCAGGACCGGCTCAGCTAATCGCTGTCACTCCTGGTGGTGGTGGTGGTGGTGATGGTGGTGGTGGTGGTAGTGGTGGTGGTGATGGTGGTGGTGGCTCTGAGCGGGAAGCCAACTCGGCTCGACGGGTTCCTCACGCTGCACAGCTCTATCCACAATGCAACACCAACCGCCATTCGCCACTAAGTGGCGGTGACGTCACCACGACGCTTGTGCCAGGCCATGTGCACATTGAGCCCACGTGAAGTGTCGAACGCCCGCTGGCAGGAGGTCACGGGGCAGACCCAGGTGCCACGGGTCGACTGACTGAGATGACTGGCTGATGCACCACCTGTGCTCCCTACTATATCAACCTGCTGTGCTTTAGCCACCCGGCGCTCCGCTCGTTGTTTGAGCATCGCTCCTCCGCCCTCCGTTGTTGTTGGAGGACGACTGCCTCCAACTGCCCAGTAGCGTCCTTCACGAGCCTCCCCCACAGAGGCCGATCTTGTCACCGCTGGTACCGGTCATCGGCCAGTCCACTCAGCTCCACGTACTCCTGTACCACATCACTCCATCTCTTCTCTAGCCCATGCCGCGCCCGTTTAGCCCCCTCAATCCGGCCATCGCATGCGAGAATTTCACGCGCGCGTGTGTGTACATGCACACACATGTGCATATACACACGTGTGTGTGTGTACACGTGTGTGTGTACACGTGGAGCTGAGTGGACTTGCCGATGGCTGGTACCAGCAGTGTCAAGATAGGCCTCTGTGGAGGAGGCTCGTGAAGGACACTACTGGACAGTTGGAGGTAGTCGCCCTCCAACAACAACGGAGGGCGGAGGAGCGACGCTCACAACAACGAGCGGAGCGCCGGGTGGCTAAAGCACAGCAGGTTGGCACAGTAGGGGGCACAGGTGGTGCATCAGCCAGTCATCTCAGTCAGTCGACCCGTGGCACCTGGGTCTGCCCCGTGACCTCCTGCCAGCGGGCGTTCGACACTTCACGTGGCCTCAAGGTGCACATGGCCTGGCACAAGCGTCGTGGTGATGTCACCGCCACTTAGTGGCGAATGGCGGTCGTAGTTGTGTACACGTGTGTGCGTACACGTGTGTGTGTACACGTGTGTGTGTGTGTACACGTATGTACACTGGTGTGTGTGTGTACACTGTGTGTGTATGTATACACTGTGTGTGTGTACACAGTGTGCGCGTGTACACTGGTGTGTGCGTGTACACGTGTGTGTACACGTGTGTGTGTACACGTGTGTGTACACGTGTATGTGTGTGTACACGTGTGTGTGTGTACACGTGTGGGGAGCGGTAGTGTAGCGGTTAGCGCGCTGCGCTATGAACCTGGCGACGATTATCTGAACCGGTCCTGGGCCTACCCTAGGTCGACTCAGCCTCACATGAGTACCTGGTGCCACTGGGGAGACAAAGGCGGTCGGGCGTGGTGCTGGCCACCCACCCCCTCGTGTACCATTCCGGCCTTCATAGGTGCTACTCGCTAACAGCACTTGCCCCTGTAGTCTGTTAAGGCTACAAGGGGGATCTTTGTCTGTGTCTACCTTCACAGGTGCTGCTGCTACTCGCTACTAACAGCACTTGCCCCTACAGTCTGTTAGAGGCTACACGGGGGATCTTTGTCTGTGTCTACCTTCACAGGTGCTGCTGCTACTCGCTACTAACAGCACTTGCCCCTACAGTCTGTTGAGGCTACACGGGGGATCTTTGTCTGTGTCTACCTTCACAGGTGCTGCTGCTACTCGCTACTAACAGAACTTGCCCCTACAGTCTGTTAGAGGCTACACGGGGGATCTTTGTCTGTGTCTACCTTGATAGGTGCTGCTGCTACTCGCTACTAACAGCACTTGCCCCTACAGTCTGTAGAGGCTACACGGGGGACCTTTGTTACCGGTGTGCGCTGAGGATGGCCTGCACCAGCGCGTCTCCAATGCCGTTGAGCACCGTCTTGTCGTCACAGCAGCTGATGAAGAACTGGTTCTGGGGGGGTCGTGGGGGGGTCGAACGATCAGCGGTGGTGGTGGTGGTAGGAGTGGTTGTAGTGGTGGTGTTGTTGGTGGTGGTGGTGGTAGTAGTAGTGGTGGTGGGGTTGGTGGCGGTAGTGGTGGTGGTAGTGGTGGTGGTAGTGGTGGTGGTGTTGGTGGTAGTGGTGGTGGTGTTGGTCGTGGTAGTGGTGGTGTTGGTGGTGGTAGTGATAGTGATGGTAGTGGTGGTAGTAGTGGTAGTGGTGGTGTTGGTGGTAGTAGTGGTGGTAGTAGTGGTGGTAGTGGTGGTGGTGTTGGTGGTGGTAGTGGTTATGTTGGTAGTGGTGGAAGTGGTGGTAGTGGTGTTGGTGGTGGTAGTGGTTGTATTGGCAGTGGTGGTAGTGGTAGTAGTGATTGTGTTGGTAGTGGTAGTAGTGGTGGTGTTGGTGGCGGTAGTGGTGGTGGTGGTAGTGGTGGTAGTGGTGGTAGTGTTGGTGGTGGTAGTGGTGGTGGTGGTGGTAGTGGTGGTGGTGTTGGTGGTGGTAGTGGTGGTGTTGGTGGTGGTAGTGGTGGTGTTGGTGGTGGTAGTGGTGGTGGTGGTGGTAGTGGTGGTGTTGGTGGTGGTAGTGGTAGTGGTGGTAGTGGTGGTAGTGGTTGTGGTGGTAGTGGTGGTAGTGGTGGTAGTGTTGGTGGTGGTAGTGGTGGTAGTGGTGGTAGTGGTGGTGTTGGTGGTGGTGGTCTTGGTGGTGGCAGTGGTGGTAGTGGTGGTGGTGTTGGTTGTGTTGGTTGTGTTGGTAGTGGTGGTAGTGGTGGTGTTGGTGGTGGTAGTAGTGGTGTTGGTAGTGGTGATAGTGGTGGTAGTGTTCGTGGCGGTGGTCGTGGTAGTGGTAGTAGTGGTGGTGGTAGTGGTGGAAGTGGTGGTGTTGGTGGTAGTGGTGGAGTGGTAGTGTTCGTGGTGTTGGTGGTGGTAGTAGTGTTGGTGGTGGTAGTGGTGGTAGTGGTGGTGGTGTTAGAAGTGGTGGTGGTAGTGATGGTAGTGGTAGTAGTGGTGGTCGTGTTGGTGATGTTGGTAGTGGTGGTGGTGGTTGTGTTGGTAGTGGTGGTGGTGGTAGTGGTGGTGTTGGTGGTGGTTGTGGGTGGTTGTGGTGGTGGTGGTGTTGGTAGTGGTGGTGTTGGTAGTGGTGGTGTTGGTGGTGGTGGTTGTGGTGGTGGTGTTGGTAGTGGTGATGTTGGTAGTGGTGGTAGTGGTGGTGGTGTTGGTGGTGGTAGTGGTGGTTGTGGTAGTGGTGTTGGTAGTGGTAGTGGTGTTGGTGGTGGTGTTGGTGGTGGTTGTGGGTGGTTGTGGTGTTGGTGGTGGTTGTGGGTGGTTGTGTTGGTAGTGGTGGTGGTGGTTGTGGGTGGTTGTGGTGGTGGTGTTGGTAGTGGTGGTGGTGTTGGTAGTGTTGGTGGTGGTGATGATGGTGATGGTGGTGGTGATGGTGGTGTTGGTAGTGGTAGTGGTGTTGGTGGTGGTGGTGGTGGTGGTTGTGGATGGTTGTGGTGTTGGTGGTGGTTGTGAGTGGTTGTGGTGGTGGTGGTGTTGGTAGTGGTGGTGGTGTTGGTAGTGGTGGTGTTGGTGGTGTTGGTGGTGTTGGTGGTGTTGGTGGTGTTGGTGGTGGTTGTGGTGGGCCACCTCGATGTAGATGTAGTGGCGGCTGCGCTGGATGGCGCTCACGTAGGCCTGCAGGATGGAGTCCTCCACGCGTCTGATCCCCACCGACCAGTCGCACGCTGAGCGGAGGATCTACTCACGTGGGGGGTGGGGGGGGTGAGCTGCCTTTGTGTCCCCGTGACCCACCGCGTGTCCCCACCCCACAGTGTCCCCCCGTGTCTCCCCCCCGTGTCTCCCCCCCGTGTCTCCCCCCCCGTGTCTCCCCCCCCCGTGTCTCCCCCGTGTCTCCCCCCCCCTGTGTCCCCACCCCACAGTGTCCCCCCCGTGTCTCCCCCCCGTGTCTCCCCCCCCCCCGTGTCTCCACCGTGTCCCCCCCCCCGTGTCTCCCCCCCCCCGTGTACCCCCCCGTGCCCCCCCCGTGTCTCCCCCCCCGTGTCCCCCCCCGTGTCTCCCCCCCCCCGTGTCTCCCCCCCGTGTCTCCCCCCGTTTCTCCCCCCCCGTGTCTCCCCCCCCGTGTCCCCCCCCGTGTCTCCCCCCCCCGTGTCTCCCCCCCGTGTCTCCCCCCGTTTCTCCCCCCCCCGTGTCTCCCCCCGTGTGTACCCCCCCGTGCCCCCCCCGTGTCTCCCCCCCCGTGTCCCCCCCCCGTGTCTCCCCCACGTGTACCCCCCCCCGTGTCTCCCCCCCGTGTCTCCCCCCGTTTCTCCCCCCCCGTGTCTCCCCCCGTGTGTACCCCCCCCGTGCCCCCCCCGTGTCCCCCCCCCGCGTGTCCCCCCCACGTGGTGCTGCCCCCGCCACCTGCACGGTGAGGGGCTGTGACCCCGGCACGCGGCGGGCTGCTTCGTCCGCCGTGCTCAGAGACTTGGGCACCAACATGGGGAACGTCGCCGTTGACTTCTTCTTCTTCATCGTCTGGCGGCGGAGGCGGCGGAGGCGGAGACCACGACGACACGGCACACGGCACACACACACACACATATATATACACACACACATACACACATATATATACACACACACATACACACATACATACATACACACACATACATACACACACACATACACACACATACATACATACACACACATACATACACATTCACATACACACATACACACACATTCACATACACACACACATTCACACACACATTCACATACACACATACAAACACATACACATACATACACACATACACACACACATTCACATACATACACACATACACACACATTCACATACATACACATACATACACACATACACACACACATTCACATACATACACATACACACACATACACACACATACATACACACACATACATACACACACATACATACGCATACACACACATTCACATACATATACACACACATACAACACAACAACCGCCATTCGCCACTAAGTGGCGGTGACGTCACCACGACGCTTGTGCCAGGCCATGTGCACCCTGAGGCCAAGTGAAGTGTCGAACGCCCGCTGGCAGGAGGTCACGGGGCAGACCCAGGTGCCACGGGTCGACTGACTGAGATGACTGGCTGATGCACCACCTGTGCCCCCTACTGTGCCAAACTGCTGTGCTTTGTGAGCGTCGCTCCTCCGCCCTCCGTTGTTGTTGGAGGGCGACTACCTCCAACTGCCCAGTAGCATCCTTCACGAGCCTCCTCCACAGAGGCCGATCTTGACACCGCTGGTACCAGTCATCGGCAAGTCCACTCAGCTCCACGTCCTCCTGTACCACATCACTCCATCTCTTCTCTAGCCCGTGCCGCGCCCGCTTTGCCCCCTCAATCCGGCCAAACAAAAGCTGTTTCGGCATGCGGTGGCTGGGCATGCGGGCTACATGACCCAGCCATCGCAGCCTTGCCTGCCGGAGGAGCTCACCGATGGGACCTTGCCCAGATCTTTCAAGGATTTGTGAGCTCACAATCCAGTCTGGTTAAACCCAGGATGGATCGTAGGCAGGCCAGCCTAAATGTTTCTAACCGGCGAAGATGTTCCATTAGGGGGGTCACGTTTCGCAAGCGTAGAGAAGGGAGGGAATGACCGTGGCCGAGAAGACCTGAAGCTTAGTGCGGAGCGACAGACCAGGTAGCTTCCACACAGCGTTACGCAATCGATGAAAAGATATTGCCGCTCGACTGATTCGGAGTGAGACCTCTGCTGTTAAACTGGAGCCGGTCATAAGCACACGTCCCAGGTATGGGAAACTCTCCACTCTCTCCACAACTGCCCCATCACCGATTGGGAGTTTTGGGGGTGGAGTGTCCGATGGTACAAAATACCCAGGCAGGTGCTTAGTTTTGGTGGGGCTGATGGTAAGGCCCCATCTCTTAGTGGTACGCTCCAGTCTCAGCAGCAACGTCTCCAACTTCTCCTCTGACTGAGCAGCTATTACCAAATCATCAGCATACATAACGTGGTTGAGCAATAGGGAGCCATCCCTTGACCGCACCCGTGCATCGATCAGCCTCCCATTATATCTGTATCATATGGAGATTCCCCCGGTACAGCTATTGAAGGCTTCACAAACTACGTGGTCGAAATAGATGTTAAATAATGTGGGAGCCAGAGGACATCCCTGTCGCACCCCAAGATGTACAGGGAATGGCTCTGACTCCCGGCCATGTAGTTTTACCCGGGCCCGCTCACCATCATGAAGGTCCTTAATGATCGTGAGCAGAGGGTCAGGGACTCCAAAAGCACGAAGAACGACCCAGAGCCCAGGCCTACTGATGGTATCATAGGCCTTGACCAGGTCAATAAAGCAGAGATGTAGGTCTTGTTGGAATTCCCTACACTTCTGCTGTAGCAGACGGACAGAAAATATGGCATCTGTGCAGGACCGCCCTTTCCTGAAACCGCATTGGGGCTCCGCAAGCCTCTCCTCAGCGTGCCTGGCAAGGCGATGTTGAATAATCCTTGCCAGTACCTTTCCCGGCACACTGATGAGTGAGATGCCCCTGTAGTTGTTACAGTCTGTGCGGTCCCCCTTCTTAAAGAGGGGGACCACCAGGGCATCCTTCCAATCCTGCGGAACCCGTCCAGTGGTCAAGATTGTTGTTATGATGTCATATAGGGCAGTCTGTGCACAAACGCCACCCTCCCTCAGCATTTCGCTTGGGAGATCGTCTCTACCTGGTGCCTTTCCTCCGGATCGCCTTCAGTACTTCCTCAACAGATGGCACCTCAGCCAGCCACTCACAGGGGGTGACTTCTTCCAATATTTGAGGCACCGCAGCCTCAGCAGGGTCATCCTCACTTTGTGCCACGATGTTTTCCTGGCTGAGGGATTTCCCCTCCCCCAGGACCTCACAGAAATGCTCAGCAAATCTGCAAACCTTTTCCTGGGGGTCGGAGATTGGATCACCGTTTTTTTCCCCTGAGGGTAATAGGTGTGGCGCTGCAGGTTACTTTTTTGATGGAGTTACATAGAGATTTGTGATCACGGGCCACTGAGGCAGATTACATCTCCTCAGCAACCTGCGACCACCACCCATCCTTGCAGCGCCTCATGGCTCTCCGAACCTCCGAGCGAAGGCTGCGGTAAGCCTCCTCATTCTCTGAGGTGGGATTCTGTAGCCGATGACATTGGGCCTGTCGCTTTTTCTCAACCATCCTGAACACCTCCTCTGTCAGCCAGGGTCTCTGGGGAGGTCTGGACCGCGTACCCAAAGCAGACAATGCAGCTGCATGAGTCACAGTCCTAAACCTTGCCCATTTACCCTCGACATCGGGAGGAGTCGGGGACGATGCCAATCCCAGCCGCAAGCGATGATGAAATTCTCGCTTGCAACTTTCATCAGATAACTGAGACCAGGCCACTTTAGGTTGGAATGGGGTCCTGGGTGTACACCCACCACCGGAGTGGAAGAATGGCAGGCGCATCTTACAGATGACTAGTCGATGGTCAGAGGGCAGATCAGCTCCACGATAGGTCCTGGTGTCAAGGACATGGGCTCGCATCCGCTGGTCCGTCACTATGTAGTCCAGCAGATGTTCTTGCTTGGACCCGGCATGCATCCATGATGTGTGGATGCGCCGATGCCGGAACAGCGTGTTGGTAATTACAAGCCCATGGGCTGCACAAAAATCTAGCAGCCTCCTACCGTTGTTATTGAGCTGATCTGGCCCATGCCCTTCAATCACTCCAGACCAGGTGCCAGCATCATGACCAACTCGGGCATCGAAGTCACCCAACAAGATGACTCTATCCCGAGGTGCCACTATAGCTAGCACCTGTGACAGGAGGTCATAGAAGGCATCTGATTCATCGGCTTTGCCTGCATCCCTCCACGGATGTTCGTCTTCGGTGGGGGCATAAGTAACCACGACCACCACTCCTCACCTCCGGTTGATGGGAAGGCGAGCCCAAAGTAGCCTGGGGCTTACAGCTTCCCACACCTCACCGCCACGCTCCCACACCCCTTTCATTGTTTTGTTAAAAAGAAGAGCCACACCCTGTTGTTTGGCAGTCTCCTGCCCCGAGTAGAGGACTGTCCACCCCTCATGGTGGCAGGAGCCAGAACCGGTCCACCGGACCTCCTGAATGCCACAGAGATTCAGGCGGTACTCTTTGGTTCTATTGGGTAAAGTCACGTAGGTAAAAAACAAAATACTAAAATACCAAAACGTCGTGATTTTTGGTATTTTGTTTTTTTTACCTACGTAACTTTACCCAATAGAACCAAAGAGTATTGATCCTTGCAGTCACGAAAGCTTTAAATCTAGTATTCAGGCGGTACCGGTCCAGCTCCCGACAGAGGAGTGGCAGCCTCTCCTACGCAGTGAGCGTTCAAACATTCCACGTGGCCATCCGTAGTGGCTTTTCGTTGTTTCTGGAGGAGCCCCAAGGTTAGAGATTCAATCTCCTGGCTCCGCCAATTGGGGTTTGGCCAGGAGACGTCATAGACGCCTGTCCCCCCGGGGCCTCCGGCACAAGCTTATTGGTTACATATTTCAGTTTAACTCGTGGTTTAGTGGTAATTAATTGAAGGTGGAGGGGTTACCAGCCCCTCGCACCCGTCCAGAGCCCCCGTTTAGCCACTGTGGTGGACACAGACGCCATGAGGGGAGGGGCCAATCGGAATTGGCCCTCCCCCCACAGCACTGTCCACGACAGAGTTGCACATACACACACACACGCACACACGCGCACACGTTCGTCCATCCGCTCGCCTCTCTGCTTGTCACCGCGTGTTTGTGTCGGGGTGCGGCAGGAGTCTCACCCGGGTGTAGTTCCACCGCTGGATGAAGTGGCGAGCGACGTCTCGCGCCGCCGCTCCGTGCACCACGGCCGCCACGTCGTGCCACGGCATCCGCGGCGTCTCGTGCCGGTTGATGAAGTCTGCGGCGCAGACGCGGCACGCCGGCGAGTCACGTGGCAGTGCCACGGCGGTGGTGGCGGTGGCGGTCATCGTTCCGGTGGTTCTGGTTGTGTTGGTGATGGTAGCGGTGATGGTGGTGGTGGTGGTGGTGGTCGTGGTGGTTCTGATGTTTGCATGCACGGAGTCTCGTGCCGGTCGATGAAGTCTGCGGTGGAGAGGCTGAACGCCGGGGACTCAGCGCACCGTGTCACGGTGATGGTGGTGGTCGTGGTGGTCGTGGTGGTGGTCGTGGTGGTCGTGGTGGTGGTCGTGGTGGTCGTGGTGGTCGTGGTGGTTGTGGTGCAGGTGGTGGTGATAGTGGTCGTGGTGGTTGTGGTGCAGGTGGTGGTTGTGGTGGTGGTGATAATTCTGATCGTGGTGGCGATGGTGTGGTGGTGGTAGTTCTGACGGTGGTAATTCTGGTGGTGTTGTGGTAGTTCTGGTGGTGGTAGTTCTGGTGGTGTTGTGGTAGTTCTGGTGGTGGTAATTCTGGTGGTGGTAATTCTGGTGGTGGTAGTTCTGGTGGTGGTAATTCTGGTGGTGGTAATTCTGGTGGTGGTAGTTCTGGTGGTGGTAATTCTGGTGGTGGTAATTCTGGTGGTGGTAATTCTGGCTAAACCCGCCGGCCGTGGCCACAAATTTTACAGATGAATTGAACTTGTTTCAATTAATAAATGTCCCCACAAGACCCAACCTAAAAAATCCGGGACAGTCAACTCTGCTTGACGTCCTATTGACAAATGCCCCTCACAATTTCGCACTGACTGGTGTTCTGGGTAATAACCTTAGTGATCACTCCTTCATTTTTGGTGTGAGATCATCAGCCAGACCCAAAGCCCCCCCTAAAATTGTTGAGATGCACTCTTTGAGGCACTTCAGCACTCAGGCATTTACAAATGATGTGCTTCACTCGGATATTGATAAGGTCTGTGATATCCCCAACCTGACTACGGCTTGGGAGACTTAAGGTACACGTTTCGCCAAATTCTTAACAAACATGCTCCGTTGGTTAGATTTAAAACTAAAGGCAACCTACCACCATGGTATGATCCTTTGATTACAAAGCTCATTAAAACTAGGGACAAGACTTGGGCATGTGCTCAGAAAAGTAATTTGGTAAATGACTGGCTAGAATACAGGATTTTAAGGAATAGATGCGTAAAAAAATACGGCATGCAAAAAATGCCTATTTTTCCTCCACTCTCCTGGAATCACATGGAAATGCCAGGATTTTTTGGAAAACAATCAAATCTATCGAAAAGGCATCCAAAACAGAAAATCTGCCCGTTGAGCTTCACCGAAATGGGGAATATTTTTCAGATCCCAAAAAAATAGTTGACAATTTTAACCTTCATTTTTCTGAAGCTGGTAAACTTTTTGATAATGTATTGGGAGTCACCCCTGCTCCTGCAAATTCCTACACCCCTGTCCAAACATTAAACGAATTTAGTTTCCAACCAATCCACGAAAGTAATGTTCTGAAACAACTGTCCTACCTCAAAGGGTCCTCCTCTACCGGAGCAGATAGTTTTCCCGTCTTTGCTCTACTAACTGTTGGTCACCTAATATACAAACCTATAGCCCATATTTTCAACTTGTCCATCAAAGAAGCATCAGTTCCTCTAGAATGGAAACATTCCTATGTCCGTCCACTTCACAAAGGGGGCCCTAAAGATGGTCTCAATAACTACCGACCTATCTCAATTTTGTCCCCATTGATGAAAATTTTTGAAAAATTATTGAACTACCAAATTAGCAGTTTCCTGTCCACCAACAATCTACTACATCTAAAACAATCTGGGTTCCGGAAAAAATACAGCACCACATCTGCTGCATTAGACTCTTTGAATCAAATTTACAATAGCCTTGATAATAAGCAGTACTGTGCCTGTCTTTTTCTTGACCTGTCCAAAGTTTTTGATACAGTTGACCACAACACCCTACTTAGTAAACTAAGTTGCCTCGGTTTTTCCGAGAACACAGTACAATGGTTAAAAAATTACCTCTTTTCTCGCACCCAAACTGTATTCACAGATGGTTGAAGGTCAAACAGTGTTAAGATAACAAAAGGGGTTCCACAGGGTGCCATCCTCGGCCCCCTCTTGTTCTCTCTTTATGTCAATGACTTGGGCACTGAACTGGATCATTCCAGGGTAAATCTTTTTGCAGATGACACGATACTGATTACTGCTGGCCGCTCTCTGGATGACGTGATTGCTAAGCTCCAGGGTGATTTCAACAAACTACAACATCAGCTAGTTTCTCTTAAACTAGTCCTGAATACCTCCAAAACCAAGGTGCTATGCTTCTCTCCGGGACTAAAGCAGGAAGTTATTTTTCCCCAATTACATTCCTTGAATAATTATCAAATAGAGCAAGTCAAGATCTATAAATATCTTGGGGTCATCCTGGATTCAAAACTTAGTTTTGAAGATCACATTGATTATATTGGTAAAAAGACAAAAATAAAAATTGGTTTTCTGTATCGACACAAGCACTGCTTCCCCCCAATGTTCCGTTTGGAATTGATAAAAGCTACCTTACTGCCTCTACTTGACTACTGTGACATCATGTATAAATCAGCTCCAAGTACTGTACTGAAGAAGCTTGATTCCATCTATCACTCGGCCTTAAGATTTGCATTGAACTGCCCATATAGGACTCACCACTGTGATCTATACATTGGGTCAAACTTAACATCTCTTAATGTTCGACGGCTTGTGCACCAGATCTTATTTATTCACGATGTACTTACAAAAAATTCCGCAGACTACCTACTGGATCTCCTCTCTGTTTCAAAGAACAAATTTGACCTCAAGTCTTCGCTCATTTACAGCTTCACATTCCCTATTGCCGTACAAAAACTGGAGGAAGGGCCTTTGCTATTGATGCCCCCGGGTCTGGAATGCTATTGCCAATAAACTGCAACTTGAATCACTACCTATGAGATCTTCACTCAAAACTGCTCTAGAGGAGTTGTACAACCCTAGCTGCCACTGCTATTCAGTGGCTTAAAATATGGCTCTAGATTTTGGTGTTATAATTTATTTATGTAGTTTATTGTAAACAATTTGGTCACAGTCCCTATGATCACTGTTACATTAGATTTATGGCTTCTATTTTTGGTGATTTCGAAAAGTTTTTTTTGTTTTGGCCATGTTTTTGTTTATTGTAGTACGGAGTTAGACTGATGGCCTTAATCTTAGTTGTCTTGTGGTTGTTGTTGTTGTTATTTGACTTGCATCCCACTGGGATTTTTGCACACAGCGTTGGTGTACGGTGCTATTTCAGGAATATTTTGATATTTTTGTTCCTGTATTTTCTGTTTGCACAGTCACATAATAATCACTTTAAGATGTTTTCTTGTTCATGTTTTTTGTTTGTTGCGGTTGCACCCGATTCAAGAGCCGAATGGCTCACAGGGCTATACCAAATAAATGAACTATGAAACTATGGTGGTGGTAATTCTGGTGGTGGTAGTTCTGGTGGCGGTAGTTCTGGTGGTGATGATGGTTTTGATGGTGGTCGTGGTTCTGGTGGTGATGGTGGTATTGATGGTGGTAGTGGTTCTGGTGGTGATGATGGTGGTGTTGATGGTGGTAGTGGTTCTGGTGGTGATGATGGTGGTGTTGATGGTGGTAGTGGTTCTGGTGGTGATGGTGGTGTTGATGGTGGTAGTGGTTCTGGTGGTGATGGTGGTGTTGATGGTGGTAGTGGTTCTGGTGGCGGTGGTGGTGATGGTGGTAGTGGTTCTGGTGGTGATGGTGGTGTTGATGGTGGTAGTGGTTTTGGTGGTAATGGTGGTGTAGATGGTGGTAGTGGTTCTGGTGGCGGTGATGGTGGTGTTGATGGTGGTAGTGGTTCTGGTGGTGATGGTGGTGTTGATGGTGGTAGTGGTTCTGGTGGTGGTGATGGTGGTGTTGATGGTGGTAGTGGTTCTGGTGGCAGTGATGGTGGTGTTGATGGTGGTAGTGGTTCTGGCGGTGATGGTGGTGTTGATGGTGGTAGTGGTTCTGGTGGCGGTGATGGTGGTGTTGATGGTGGTAGTGGTTCTGGTGGCGGTGATGGTGGTGTTGATGGTGGTAGTGGTTCTGGTGGTGTTGATGGTGGTGGTGGTAGCGGGGGAGTTACCGTCAAAAGGTTTGTCCAGGCGTACCCAGTCCTTGAGGACGAAGTTGCAGTAGTCCTTGCCGTGCCAGAACCTCGCCTGGCCCTGGAGCGTGGCCGTTCGCTCCTTGTCTACCCAGCAACATCACCAACACCATCACCAACACCATCACCAACACCATCACCAACACCATCACCAACACCATCACCATTACCAACACCAACAACATCACCAACACCATCACCAACACCATCATCAACACCATCACCAACACCACCGCCATCACCAATACCAACACCACCGCCAACACCACCGCCAACACCATTACCAACACCATTACCAACACCATTACCAACACCATTACCAACACCATTACCAACACCATTACCAACACCATTACCAACACCATCACCAACACCATCACCAACACCATTACCAACACCATCACCAACACCACCGCCATCACCAATACCAACACCCGCCATTCACCACCAAGTGACGGTGATGTCAACACGGGGCCTGTGCCAGGCTAGGTGCACTATGAAGACGTGAAGTGTCGAAGGCTCCCTGCTGGCAGGAGGTGTCGGGACAGACCCAGGTGCCAGTGGTGGTGTGGTGTTTGGTGGTGTCCTCTGTCAAACACCACCATCACCACCACCATGACCACCATCATCATCAACACCAACACCACCATCATGGCACCTGCTGGGTCTGTCCCGTGACCTCCTCCTGCACCTAGCCTAGCACAGCAGTCAACCCACGGCACCTGCTGGGTCTGTCCCGTGAGCTCCTCCTGCACCTAGCCTGGCACAGCAGTCAACCCACGGCACTTGCTGGGTCTGTCCCGTGACATCCTGCACCTAGCCTGGCACAGCAGTCAACCCACGGCACCTGCTGGGTCTGTCCAGTGACCTCCTCCTGCACCTAGCCTGGCACAGCAGTCAACCCATGGCACATGCTGGGTCTGTCCCGTGACCTCCTCCTGCACCTAGCCTGGCACAGCAGTCAACCCACGGCACCTGCTGGGTCCGTCCCGTGACCTGCACCTAGCCTGGCACAGCAGTCAACCCACGGCACGTGCTGGGTCTGTCACGTGGCCTCACGGTGCAGCGAATCTCACCGTCAGGTTTCTTCCAGGTCGACCTCGATTCCCTGGTGAGTCGATTCCTCAGGACGCCTCTCCAACCTACACCACCACCGGGACATCAACATCAATACCGCAACATCGCCACCACCATCGCCACACAGAGACATCACCACCACCACCGCCACCAACCCACAACCACCACCATCACCACCACCACAATCACCACAACTGCCATTCGCTACTAAGTGGTGGTGATGTCACCACGACGCTTGTGCCAGGCTATGTGCACGTCGAGGCCACGTGAAGTGTCGAACGCCCGCTGGCATGAGGTCACGAAACAGACCCAGGTGCCACGGGTCGACTGACTGAGATGACTGAGACGAGTGGCTGATGCACCACCTGTGCCTTGGAGGGCGACTGCCTCCAACTGCCCAGTAGCATCCTTCACGAGCCTCCTCCACAGAGGCCGATCTTGACACCGCTGGTACCAGTCATCGGAAAGTCCACTCAGCTCCACATCCTCCTGTACCACATCACTCCATCTCTTCTCTAGCTGGCACTGTGCCAATTTAGCCCCCTCTATCAGGCCGAAAAAAACTGTTTAGGCATGCGGTGGCTGGGCATGCGGGCGACATGACCCAGCCAACGCAGCCTTGCCTGCCGAAGGAGCTCACCGATGGGACCTTGCCCAGATCTTTCAAGGATTTGTGAGCTCCTCATACAATCCAGCCTGGTTAAACCCTGGATGGATCGTAGGCGGGCCAACCTAAATGTTTCTAACCGGCGAAGATGTTCCATTAGGGGGGTCCACGTTTCGCAAGTGTAGAGAAGGGAGGGAATGACCGTGGCCGAGAAGACGCGAAGCTTCGTGTGGAGCGGCAGACCAGGTAGCTTCCACACAGCGTTACGCAACCGATGAAAATATAATGCCGCTCAACGGATTCTGGTCTTAAGCACACTGCCCAGGTATGGGAAACTCTCCACTCTCTCCACAACTGCCCCATCACCAATTGGGATTTGTGGGGCTGGAGTGTCTGTTGGCACAAAACACCCAGTCAGGGATTTAGTTTGGTGGGGCTGATGGTAAGGCCTCACCTCTTAGTGGCATGCTCCAGGTTCAGCAGCATCACCTCCAACTCCTCCTCGGAGTGAGCAGCAATCATCAGATCATCGGCATACATAACGTGGTTGACCAATAGAGCCATCCCTTGACCGCACCCGAGCATCGATCAGCCTCCCATTGTATCTGCACCAGAGGAAAATTCCTCCGGTACAGTTTCACGAACTACGTGGTCGAAATAGATGTTAAATAATGTGGGAGCCAGAGGACATCCCTGTCGCACTCCAAGGTGAACAGGGAATGGCTCCGACTCCTGGCGACATAGTTTTACCCGGGCCCGCTCACCATCATGAAGGTTCTTAATGATCGTGAGCAGAGGGTCAGGGACTCCAAAAGCACGAAGAACAACCCAGAGCCCAGGCCTACTGATGGTATCATAGGCCTTGACCAGGTAAATAATGCAGAGATGTAGGTCTTGTTGGAATTCCCTACACCTCTGTTGTAGCAGACGGACAGAAAAAATGGCATCTGTGCACGATGAAACCACATTGGGGGTCTGCAAGCCTCTCCTCAGCGTGCGTGGCAAGGCGATGTTGATTAAGCCTTGCCAGGACCTTTCCCTGCAAACTGAGGAGTGAGATGCCCCTGTAGTTGTTACAGTCTGTGCGATCCCCCTTCTTAAAGAGGAGGATCACCAGGGCATCCTTCCAATCCTGCGGAACCCGTCCAGTGGTCCATACTGTTATTATGATGTCACGTAGGGCAGTCTGTGCACAAACGCCACCCTCCCTCAGCATTTTGCTTGGGAGATCATCTCTGCCCGCTGCCTTTCCTGGTCTCAGACTCTGGATCGCCTTCAGTACTTCCTCAAGAGATGGCACCTCAGCCTGGCGCTCACAGGGGGTGACTTCTTCCAATATTTGAGGCACCGCAGCCTCAGCAGGGTCATCCCCACTTTGTCCCCTGATGTTTTCCAGGCTGAGGGATTTCCTCTCCCGCAGGATCTCACAGATATTCTCAGTAAACCTGTTCCTGGAGGTCAGAAATCAGATCACCGTTCTTTCCTTCAAGGATGGTGATAGGTGTGGCACTGCAGGTTCCTTTTTGGAGTTGAAGAATTATTTGTAATCGCGGTCTACTGAGGCAGATGCCATTTCATCAGCAACCCGCGACCACCACCCATCCTTGCAGCGCCTCATGGCTCTCCGAGCCTCCGAGCGCAGGCTGTGGTAAGCCTCCTCATTCTCTGATGTGGCATGCTGTAGTCGATGAGAGTGGGCCTGTCGCTTTGTCTCAGCCAGCCAGAACACCTCCTCTGTCAGCCAGGGTCTCTGGGGAGGTCTGGACCGTGTACCCAAAGCAGCTGATGCAGCTGAATACTCCACAGTCCTAAACCTCGCCCATTTTCCCTCAGCATCAGGAAGAATGAGGAACGATGCCAACCCCGGCCGCAAGCGATGATGAAATTCTCGCTTGCAACTTTTATCAGCTAGCTGAGACCAGGGCACTGTGGGTTTAAATGGGGTCCTGGGTGTGCACCCACCACCGGAGCGGAGGAATGGCAGGTGCATCTTACAGACAACGAGTCGATGGTCAGTGGGCAGATCAGCTCCACGGTAGGTTCTGGGTGTCAAGGACATGGGCCCGCATCCGCTGTTCCGCCACTACGTAGTCCAGCAGATGTTCTTGCTTGGACCCGGCGTTCATCCACGACATTGTGTGGATGCGCCATTGCTGGAACAGCGTATTGGTAATGACAAGCCCATGGGCTGCACAGAAGTCTGGCAGCCTCCTGCCGTTGTTATTGAGCTGATTTGGCCCATGCCTTCAGATCACTCCAGCCCCCACAACCAAAACAACTATCGCAATCACCGCCACCACCAACCCCATGAACCCCACCACCACCACCACCAACCTCACCACCACCATCTCACCACCCCCAACCCCACCACCACCATCTCACCATCCCCAACCCCATGACCACCAACCCCACCACCACCACCAACCCCACCACCACCACCAACCCCACCACCACCATCTCACCACCACCAACCCCCCACCACCACCACCACCAACCCCACCACCACCACCAACCCCACCACCACCACCACCAACCCCACCACCACCCCCATCTCACCACCCCCAACCCCATCACCACCTCCGCCCCCACGTACGCTGCACGATGTTGTCCATGAGGTCGCGGTTGCCGGAGGCTCCGGCGCCGTCGGGCTCCTCCGACCCCTCGACCCCCCCCGCCGCGGTGGTGCCGGCGCCGCCCCTGGTGCCGCCCCTGGCCGCCGCCCCGTCGGCGATGGCTCCCCCCCCCCCTGCTCCGTCGGGCCCGGAGGGCCGCAGCACGGCGCGGATGGCCGTGCCCCAGCTGGCCACTCGCTGGCGCGGGGACACGGAGCCGGTGCCACCATCGGAAGCCTCCTCCACCTCCTCCACCTCCTCCTCCACCTCCTCGCCGCCGCCGCCGCCACCGCCGCCGCCGCCACCGCCGCCGCGTTTGACGGAGAGATCGGTGAGGGAGTCGGTGGAGATGGGAGACATCGGAGCGCGCTCACTCGTGTGGGTCAGCTGGGAGACACGGGGAGACACGGGGGGGAGACACGGTAGAGATATGGGGGAGACACGGGGGAGACACGGGGAGACAGGGTAGAGATATGGAGGGGACACGGGGGGGGAGACACGGGGGGGGAGACACGGGGGGGAGACACGGGGGGGGGAGACACGTGGGAGGAGACACGTGGGGGGAGACACGGGGGGGGAGACACGGGGGGGGGGAGACACGGGGGGGGGAGACACGGGGGGGAGACACGGGGGGGGAGACACGTAGGAGGAGACACGTGGGGGGAGACACGTGGAGGGAGACACGTGGAGGGAGACACGGGGGGGAGACACGGGGGGGGAGACACGTGGGGGGAGACACGTGGGAGGAGACACGGGGGGGGGGAGACATGGGGGGGGAGACACGGGGGGGGGAGACACGTGGGGGGAGACACGTGGAGGGAGACACGTGGGAGGAGACACGGGGGGGGAGACACGGGGGGGGGGAGACACGTGGGGGGAGACACGTGGAGGGAAACACGTGGAGGGAGACACGTGGAGGGAGACACGGGGGGGAGACACGGGGGGGGAGACACGTGGGGGGAGACACGTGGGAGGAGACACGGGGGAGGAGACACGGGGGGGGGGAGACACGGGGGGGGGGAGACACGGGGGTGGAGACACGTGGGGGAGACACGGGGGAGACACGGGGGGGAGACACGTGGGAGGAGACACGTGGGGGGAGACACGTGGGGTGGGTGGGATCCTGACCGAGGTGTCGACGGTTCGCTGCACGCTGCCAATGTCAGTGAGCCGGTGTTGGTGGTCGTCCCAGCGTCCGTAGGCGAGGTCGAGGCCCCCCAGGAAGGCGACGGCCTGGTCCACCACCACCAGCTTCTCGTGGTGAGCCCACAGCAGCACGCTGGACGGCACCTTGTCTGGGTGACGCAGCACCTGGGGCACAGTGGGGGGGGGTAGAGTGGTGTAGGGTGGTGTAGAGTGGTGTAGAGTGATGTGGTGTAGAGTGGTTTAGGGTGGTGTAGGGTGGTGTAGAGTGGTGTAGGGTGGTGTAGAGTGGTGTAGGGTGGTGTAGGATGGTGTAGGGTGGTGAAGGGTGGTGTAGGGTGGTGTAGGGTGGAGTAGGGTGGTGTAGGATGGTGTAGGGTGGTGTAGGGTGGTGTAGGGTGGTGAAGGGTGGTGTAGAGTGATGTGGTGTAGAGTGGTGTAGGGTGGTGTAGAGTGGTGTGGTGTAGGGTGGTGTAGGGTGGTGTAGGGTGGTGTAGGGTGGTGTAGGGTGGTGTAGAGTGGTGTAGGGTGGTGTAGAGTGGTGTAGGGTGGTGTAGAGTGGTGTAGGGTGGTGTAGAGTGGTGTAGAGTGGTGTAGAGTGGAGTGTTGTAGAGTAGGGTGGTGTAGGGTGGTGTAGAGTGGTGTAGAGTGGTGTAGGGTGGTGTAGGGTGGTGTAGAGTGGTATAGGGTGGTGTAGAGTGGTGTAGAGTGGTGTAGGGTGGTGTAGGGTGGTGTACGGTGGTGTAGGGTGGTGTAGGGTGGTGTAGAGTAGTGTAGGGTGGTGTAGGGTGGTGTAGGGTGGTGTAGAGTGGTGTAGGGTGGTGTAGGGTGGTGTACGGTGGTGTAGGGTGGTGTAGGGTGGTGTAGAGTGGTGTAGAGTGGTGTAGGGTGGTGTAGAGTGGTGTAGGGTGATGTAGGGTGGTGTAGGGTGGTGTAGGGTGGTGTAGAGTGATGTGGTGTAGAGTGGTGTAGGGTGGTGTAGGGTGGTGTAGAGTGATGTGGTGTAGAGTGGTGTAGGGTGGTGTAGAGTGATGTGGTGTAGAGTGGTGTGGTGTAGAGTGGTGTAGGGTGATGTAGAGTGGTGTAGGGTGGTGTAGAGTGGTGTAGGGTGGTGTAGAGTGGTGTAGGGTGGTGTAGAGTGGTGTAGAGTGGTGTAGGGTGGTGTAGAGTGGTGTAGAGTGGTGTAGGGTGGTGTAGAGTGGTGTAGAGTGGTGTAGGGTGGTGTAGGGTGGTGTAGGGTGGTGTAGAGTGGTGTAGAGTGGTGTAGAGTGGTGTAGGGTGGTGTAGGGTGGTGTAGAGTGGTGTAGGGTGGTGTAGGATGGTGTAGGGTGGTGTAGGATGGTGTAGGGTGGTGTAGGGTGGTGTAGGGTGGTGTAGAGTGGTGTAGAGTGATGTAGGGTGGTGTAGGGTGGTGTAGGGTGGTGTAGGGTGGTGTAGAGTGATGTGGTGTAGAGTGGTGTAGGGTGGTGTAGAGTGGTGTAGAGTGGTGTAGGGTGGTGTAGAGTGGTGTAGGGTGGTGTAGGGTGGTGTAGAGTGGTGTAGGGTGATGTAGGGTGGTGTAGAGTGGTGTAGGGTGGTGTAGGGTGGTGTAGAGTGGTGTAGGGTGGTGTAGGGTGGTGTAGAGTGGTGTAGGGTGGTGTAGGGTGGTGTAGGGTGTTGTAGAGTGGTGTAGAGTGGTGTAGGGTGGTGTAGGGTGGTGTAGGGTGGTGTAGGGTGGTGTAGGGTGGTGTGGTGTAGAGTGGTGTAGAGTGGTGTAGAGTAGGGTGTTGTAGAGTGGTAGTGCTGCTGGTGGTACCCGGATGTTGGGGTGTAGGGTGGTAGTGCTGCTGGTGGTACCCGGATGTTGGGGTGTAGAGTGGTGTGGTGTAGAGTGGTGGGGTGTAGAGTGGGGTGGTGTAGAGTGGTGTAGGGTGGTGTAGAGTGGTGTAGTGTAGAGTGGAGTGTTGTAGAGTAGGGTGTTGTAGGGTGGTAGTGCTGCTGGTGGTACCCGGATATTGGGGTGTAGAGTGGGGTGTTGTTGGGTGGTAGTGCTGCTGGTGGTACCCGGATGTTGGGGTGTAGAGTGGGGTGTTGTAGGGTGGTAGTGCTGCTGGTGGTACCCGGATGTTGGGGTGTAGAGTGGGGTGTTGTAGGGTGGTAGTGCTGCTGGTGGTACCCGGATGTTGGGGTGCATGCCCATGAGGCTGCGCTTGCTGTAGCCGCTGTTGATCCCCAGCGCCAGCTCCACCTCCTTGTACAGCAGCACGTACACACGTACACCACTCTCCTACACACACAAGGATAGACAAGGATCCCCCATATAGCCTTAACAGACTGTAGGGGCAAGTGCTGTTAGCGAGCACCTATGAAGGCCGGAACGGTACAACGAGGGGGTGGGTGGCCAGCACCACGCCCGACCGCCTTTGTCTCCCTAGTGGCGATGTTTACACACCGCACCAGGTACTCATTTGAGGCTGAGTCGACCTAGGGGAGGCCCGGGACCGGTTCAGATAATCGTCACTGGTGTTGGCCGTGAGCGGGAATCGAACCCGGGTCGCCAGGTTCATAGCGCAGCGCGCTAACCGCTACACTATCGCTCCCCTACACACACACACACACGTACACACACACACACACGTACACCACTCTCCTACACACACACGTACACACATACACACGTACACCACTCTCCTGCACGCACACACACACGTACACACGTACACCACTCTCCTACACACACACACGTACACATGTACGCCACTCTCCTACACACACACACACACGTACACATACACACCACTCTCCTGCACACACACACACGTACACACACACACACGTACACACACACACCACTCTCCTGCACACACACACACGTACACACACACACGTACATACATACACACACACGTACACACGTACACACATACACCACTCTCCTGCACACACACACACGTACACACGTACACACACACGTACACACACACGTACACACACACACGTACACACGCACACCACTCTCCTGCACACACACACACACACGTACACACGCACACCACTCTCCTGCACACACACACGTACACACGTACACACGCACACCACTCTCCTGCACACACACACACACGTACACACGTACACACGCACACCACTCTCCTGCACACACACACACATACACACGTACACACGCACACCACTCTCCTGCACACACACGTACACACGCACACCACTCTCCTGCACACACACACGTACACACGTACACACGCACACCACTCTCCTGCACACACGCACACACGTGTGTAATGGCAGGAGAGTAGACCTGCGGTGTGAAGCGACTAGTGGCCACGGGAGGTAGTGACAGCGGAGTCAGCTGTGAGTGTGAAGGGACTGGTGGCCACGGGAGGTAGTGACAGCGGAGTCAGCTGTGAGTGTGAAGGGACTGGTGGCCACGGGAGGTAATGACAGGGGGAGTCAGCTGTGAGTGTGAGTGGACTGGTGGCCATGGGAGGTAGTGACAGGGGAGTCAGCTGTGAGTGTGAAGGGACTGGTGGCCACGGGAGGTAATGACAGGGGAGTCAGCTGTGAGTGTGAAGGGACTGGTGGCCATGGGAGGTAATGACAGGGGAGTCAGCTGTGAGTGTGAGGGGACTGGTGGCCATGGGAGGTAATGCCAGGGGAGTCAGCTGTGAGTGCGAATGGACTGGTGGCCACGGGAGGTAATGACAGGGGGATGAAGCTGTGAGTGTGAAGGGACTGGTGGCCACGGGAATGTTCGAGCAAGGAGCGTGGTCAGGCGACGGACGAGGACGGTGGAGTCTGCCGGTGGAGCGAGCGTCCAGAGTCGGCGAGAACGATCGAGAAGGGGGGCGTGGCCTCCTGTTGGTATATAAGGGGGAGATGCGCGGGAGACTCGCGGCTATTGCGGTGGGGGTCTCCTCCGCCTGTGTCAAGTGAACGCCTCTTCAATAAAAGTGCCATCTCAAGAGAAGTGTGTCAAATCGTCTTTACACGTGTACACACGCACGCCACTCTCCTGCACACACACACGTACACACACACACGTACACACGCGGTGCCAGCGAGTGACTCACGGCCTTGCGTTTAAGCACCCAGTCGAGGCGCCAGTAGTTCCCCTCCATCGGAGGCCTCTTGAGGAAGATCTCTGGGCTCAGCCTGGGATGCAAAGCAGGGGGAGCCTCACTCAGCTACTCACTCACTCAGTCACTCAGCTACTCGCTCACTCAGTCAGTCACTCAGCTACTCGTTCACTCAGTCAGTCACTCAGTCAGTCACTCAGCTACTCGCTCACTCAGTCACTCAGCTACTCGTTCACTCAGTCAGTCAGTCACTCAGCTACTCGCTCACTCAGTCACTCAGTCAGTCACTCAGCTACTCGTTCAGTCAGTCACTCAGTCAGTCACTCAGCTAGTCGCTCACTTAGTCACTCAGCTACTCAGTCAGTCACTCAGTCAGTCACTCAGCTACTCGCTCACTCAGTCAGTCACTCAGCTACTCGTTCACTCAGTCAGTCACTCAGCTACTCGTTCACTCAGTCAGTCGCTCGGCTACTCGCTCACTCAGTCAGTCACTCAGCTACTCGCTCACTCAGTCAGTCACTCAGCTACTCGCTCACTCAATCAGTCACTCAACTACTCGCTCACTCAGTCAGTCACTCAGCTACTCGCTCACTCAGTCACTCAGTCAGTCACTCAGCTACTCGCTCACTCACTCAGTCACTCAGCTACTCGCTCACTCAGTCAGTCACTCAGCTACTCGCTCACTCAGTCAGTCACTCAACTACTCGCTCAGTCAGTCACTCAGTCAGTCACTCAGCTAGTCGTTCACTCAGTCACTCAACTACTCGCTCACTCAGTCAGTCACTCAGCTACTCGCTCACTCAGTCAGTCACTCGGCTACTCGCTCACTCAGTCAGTCACTCAGCTACACGCTCACTCAGTCAGTCACTTAACTACTCGCTCACTCAGTCAGTCACTCAGCTACTCGCTCACTCAGTCACCCAACTACTCGCTCACTCAGTCAGTCACTCAGCTACTCGCTCACTCAGTCAGTCACTCAACTACTCGCTCACTCAGTCAGTCACTCAGCTACTCGCTCACTCAGTCAGTCACTCGGCTACTCGCTCACTCAGTCAGTCACCCAGCTACTCGCTCACTCATTCAGTCACTCGGCTACTCGCTCACTCAGTCAGTCACTCAGCTACTCGCTCACTCAGTCAGTCACTCAGCTACTCGCTCCCTCAGTCAGTCACTCAACTACTCGCTCACTCAGTCAGTCACTCAGCTACTCGCTCACTCAGTCAGTCACTCGGCTACTCGCTCACTCAGTCAGTCACTCAGCTACTCGCTCACTCAGTCAGTCACTCAGCTACTCGCTCACTCAGTCAGTCACTCAGCTACTCGCTCACTCAGTCACTCAGTCAGTCACTCAGCTACTCGCTCACTCACTCAGTCACTCAGCTACTCGCTCACTCAGTCAGTCACTCAGCTACTCGCTCACTCAGTCAGTCACTCAACTACTCGCTTACTCAGTCAGTCACTCAGCTACTCGCTCACTCAGTCAGTCACTCGGCTACTCGCTCACTCAGTCAGTCACTCAGCTACTCGCTCACTCAGTCAGTCACTTAACTACTCGCTCACTCAGTCAGTCACTCAGCTACTCGCTCACTCAGTCACCCAACTACTCGCTCACTCAGTCAGTCACTCAGCTACTCGCTCACTCAGTCAGTCACTCAACTACTCGCTCACTCAGTCAGTCACTCGGCTACTCGCTCACTCAGTCAGTCACTCGGCTACTCGCTCACTCAGTTAGTCACTCAGCTACTCGCTCACTCAGTCAGTCACTCAGCTACTCGCTCACTCAGTCAGTCACTCAGCTACTCGCTCACTCACTCAGTCACTCGGCTACTCGCTCACTCAGTCAGTCACTCAGCTACTCGCTCACTCAGTCAGTCACTCAGCTACTCGCTCACTCAGTCAGTCACTCAGCTACTCGCTCACTCACTCAGTCACTCGGCTACTCGCTCACTCAGTCAGTCACTCAGCTACTCGCTCACTCAGTCAGTCACTTAACTACTCGTTCACTCAGTCAGTCACTCAGCTACTCGCTCACTCAGTCAGTCACTTAACTACTCGCTCACTCAGTCAGTCACTCAGCTACTCGCTCACTCACTCAGTCACTCGGCTACTCGCTCACTCAGTCAGTCACTCAGCTACTCGCTCACTCAGTCAGTCACTTAACTACTCGCTCACTCAGTCAGTCACTCAGCTACTCGCTCACTCAGTCACCCAACTACTCGCTCACTCAGTCAGTCACTCAGCTACTCGCTCACTCAGTCAGTCACTCAACTACTCGCTCACTCAGTCAGTCACTCGGCTACTCGCTCACTCAGTCAGTCACTCGGCTACTCGCTCACTCAGTCACTCAGCTACTCGCTCACTCAGTCAGTCACTCAACTACTCGCTCACTCAGTCAGTCACTCAGCTACTTGCTCACTCAGTCAGTCACTCGGCTACTCGCTCACTCAGTCAGTCACTCAGCTACTCGCTCACTCAGTCAGTCACTTAACTACTCGCTCACTCAGTCAGTCACTCAGCTACTCGCTCACTCAGTCAGTCACTCAGCTACTCGCTCACTCAGTCAGTCACTCAGCTACTCGCTCACTCACTCAGTCACTCGGCTACTCGCTCACTCAGTCAGTCACTCAGCTACTCGCTCACTCAGTCAGTCACTCAGCTACTCGCTCACTCAGTCAGTCACTCAGCTACTCGCTCACTCACTCAGTCACTCGGCTACTCGCTCACTCAGTCAGTCACTCAGCTACTCGCTCACTCAGTCAGTCACTTAACTACTCGTTCACTCAGTCAGTCACTCAGCTACTCGCTCACTCAGTCAGTCACTTAACTACTCGCTCACTCAGTCAGTCACTCAGCTACTCGCTCACTCACTCAGTCACTCGGCTACTCGCTCACTCAGTCAGTCACTCAGCTACTCGCTCACTCAGTCAGTCACTCAGCTACTCGCTCACTCAGTCAGTCACTTAACTACTCGCTCACTCAGTCAGTCACTCAGCTACTCGCTCACTCAGTCACTCAGTCAGTCACTCAGCTACTCGCTCACTCAGTCAGTCACTTAACTACTCGCTCACTCAGTCAGTCACTCAGCTACTCGCTCACTCAGTCACTCAGTCAGTCACTCAGCTACTCGCTCACTCAGTCAGTCACTTAACTACTCGCTCACTCAGTCAGTCACTCAGCTACTTGTTCACTCAGTCAGTCACTTAACTACTCGCTCACAGGGGGTGATCGTGACGGTAGTGGTCATGATGGTGGTGATGGTCTCGGTGATGATGGTAACGGGGGTGGTGGTTATGGTGGTGGTGGTGGTGATGGTGGTGATGGTGGTGGTGATGGTGGTGATGGTGGTGATGGTGCTGGTGATGGTGCTGGTGGTGATGGTGCTGGTGGTGATGGTGCTGGTGGTGGTGATGGTGGTGGTGATGGTGGTGATGGTGGTGGTGATGGTGGTGGTGATGGTGCTGGTGGTGATGGTGCTGGTGGTGGTGATGGTGGTGCTGGTGGTGATGCTACGCACCACCAGTCCGTGATGAAGATCTCCTCCTTGGCCTCCTGCAGGGCGTCAGCCACCTGCACAAAGTACTCAGCGGCGTTCACGAACCTGGCCCCACCGACAGACAAAGATCCCCCGTGTAGCCTTCACAGACTGGAGGGGCAAGTGCTGCTAGTAGCGAACAGCTGCGACTATGAAGGGCGGTGCCACGCCCAGCCGGCATTGTGTGTGTATCAGTGTGTGTGTACTAGTGTGTGTGTACTAGTGTGTGTTTACCAGTGTGTGTGTACTAGTGTGTGTATCAGTGTGTGTGTGTACCAGTGTGTGTGTACCAGTGTGTGTGTAGCAGTGTGTGTGTGTGTATCAGTGTGTGTGTACTAGTGTGGGGAGCGGTAGTGTAGCGGTTAGCGCGCTGCGCTATGAACCTGGCGACCCGGGTTCGATTCCCGCTCACGGCCAACACCAGTGACGATTATCTGAACCGGTCCCAGGCCTCCCCTAGGTCGACTCAGCCTCAAATGAGTACCTGGTGCGGTGTGTAAACATTGCCACTAGGGAGACAAAGGCGGTCGGGCGTGGTGCTGGCCACCCACCCCCTCGTGTACCGTTCCGGCCTTCATAGGTGCTCGCTAACAGCACTTGCCCCTACAGTCTGTTAAGGCTATATGGGGGATCTTTATCTTTGTGTACTAGTGTGTGTGTGTGTGTTTATCAGTGTGTGTACCAGTGTGTGTGTGTGTGTACTAGTGTGTGTGTACCAGTGTGTGTGCACCAGTGTGGGTATGTGTAGCAGTGTGTGTGTGTGTTTATCAGTGTGTGTGTTTATCAGTGTGTGTATCAGTGTGTGTGTGTATCAGTGTGTGTGTGTATCAGTGTGCGTGTACCAGTGTGTGTGTACCAGTGGGGAGCGATAGTGTAGCGGTTAGCGTGCTGCGCTATGAACCTGGCGACCCGGGTTCGATTCCCGCTCACGGCCAACACCAGTGACGATTATCTGAACCGGTCCCGGGCCTCCCCTAGGTCGACTCAGCCTCAAATGAGTACCTGGTGCGGTGTGTAAACATCGTCACTAGGGAGACAAAGGCGGTCGGGCGTGGTGCTGGCCACCCACCCCCTCGTGTACCGTTCCGGCCTTCATAGGTGCTCGCTAACAGCACTTGCCCCTACAGTCTGTTAAGGCTATACGGGGGATCTTTGTCTTTATCTTTGTGTACCAGTGTGTGTATGTGTAGCAGTGTGTGTATGTATCATTGTGTGTGTACCAGTGTGTGTGTGTGTTTATCAGTGTGTGTATCAGTGTGTGTGTGTATCAGTGTGTGTGTGTATCAGTGTGTGTATCAGTGTGTGTATCAGTGTGTGTGTACCAGTGTGTGTGTGTATCAGTGTGTGTATACCAGTGTGTGTGTGTGTACCAGTGTGTGTGTTTATCAGTGTGTGTATCAGTGTGTGTGTGTGTATCAGTGTGTGTGTGTACCAGTGTGTGTGTGTACCAGTGTGTGTGTGTACCAGTGTGTGTGTGTATCAGTGTGTGTGTGTATCAGTGTGTGTGTGTACCAGTGTGTGTGTTTATCAGTGTGTGTACCAGTGTGTGTGTTTATCAGTGTGTGTATCAGTGTGTATCAGTGTGTGTGTACCAGTGTGTGTGTGTGTTTATCAGTGTGTATCAGTGTGTGTGTCACCCCCTGTGAGTGGCTGGCTGAGGTGCCATCTGTTGAGGAAGTACTGAGGGCGATCCGGAGTCTGAGACCAGGAAAGGCACCGGGCAGAGATGATCTCCCAAGCGAAATGCTGAGGGAGGGTGGCGTTTGTGCACAGACTGCCCTACGTGACATCATAACAACAGTCTGGACCACTGGACGGGTTCCGCAGGATTGGAAGGATGCCCTGGTGGTCCCCCTCTTTAAGAAGAGGGACCGCACAGACTGTAACAACTACAGGGGCATCTCACTCCTCAGTGTGCCGGGAAAGGTCCTGGCAAGGATTATTCAGCATTGCCTTGCCAGGCACGCTGAGGAGAGGCTTGCGGAGCCCCAATGCGGTTTCAGGAAAGGGCGGTCCTGCACAGATGCCATATTTTCTGTCCGTCTGCTACAGCAGAGGTGTAGGGAATTCCAACAAGACCTACATCTCTGCTTTATTGACCTGGTCAAGGCCTATGATACCATCAGTAAGCCTGGGCTCAGGGTCGTTCTTCGTGCTTTTGGAGTACCTGACCCTCTGCTCACGATCATTAAGGACCTTCATGATGGTAAAACTACGTGGCCGGGAGTCAGAGCCATTCCCTGTACACCTTGGGGTGCGACAGGGATGTCCTCTGGCTCCCACATTATTTAACATCTATTTTGACCACGTAGTTCGTGAAGCCTTCAATAGCTGTACCGAGGGAATCTCCAAATGGTACAGATATAATGGGAGGCTGATCGATGCCCGGGTGCGGTCAAGGGATGGCTCCCTATTGCTCAACCACGTTATGTATGCTGATAATTTGGTAATAGCTGCTCAGTCAGAGGAGGAGTTGGAGACGCTGCTGCTGAGACTGGAGCGTGCCACTAAGAGGTGGGGCCTTACCATCAGCCCCACCAAAACTAAGCACCTGCCTGGGTATTTTGTACCATCGGACACTCCACCCCCACAACTCCCAATCGGTGATGGGGCAGTTGTGGAGAGAGTGGAGAGTTTCCCATACCTGGGCAGTGTGCTTATGACTCGCTCCAGTTTAACAGCAGAGGTCTCACTCCGAATCAGTCGAGCGCCAATATCTTTTCATCGGTTGCGTAACGCTGTGTGGCAGCTACCTGGTCTGTCGCTCCGCACTAAGCTTCAGGTCTTCTCGCCACGGTCATTCCCTCCCTTCTCTACGCTTGCAAAACGTGGACCCCCCTAATGGAACATCTTCGCCGGTTAGAAACATTTAGGCTGGCCTGCCTACGATCCATCCTGGGTTTGACCAGACTGGATTGTGTGAGGAGCTCACAAATCCTTGAAAGATCTGGGCAGGGTCCCATCGGTGAGCTCCTCCGGCGGGCAAGGCTGCGATGGCTGGGTCATGTAGCCCGCATGCCCAGCCACCGCATGCCGAAACAGCTTTTGTTTGGCCGGATTGAGGGGGCTAAGCGGGCGCGGCACGGGCTAGAGAAGAGATGGATTGATGTGGTACAGGAGGACGTGGAGCTGAGTGGACTTGCCGATGACTGGTATCAGCGGTGTCAAGATCGGCCTCTGTGGAGGAGGCTCGTGAAGGATGCTACTGGGCAGTTGGAGGCAGTCGCCCTCCAAGGCACAGGTGGTGCATCAGCCACTCGTCTCAGTCATCTCAGTCAGTCGACCCGTGGCACCTGGGTCTGCCCAGTGACCTCCTGCCAGCGGGCGTTCGACACTTCACGTGGCCTCACGGTGCACATAGCCTGGCACAAGCGTCGTCGTGACGTCACCGCCACTTAGTGGCGAATGGCGGTTGTTGTTGTGTGTGTATCAGTGTGTGTGTGTGTTCCAGTGTCATGGTTAGTGTGCTGCATCACGAATCCTGCGACCCGAGTTCAATTCCAGCTCACGGCCAACACTAGTCACGATTACCTGTACCGGTGCTGGGCCTCCCGTAGGGAGACAAAGTCGGTCGGGCGTGGTGCTGGAGACCCACCCCCTCGTGTGCCACAGTCATAGGTGTTCGCTAACAGCACTTGCCCCAACAGGCTGTTAAGGCTATACGGGGGATCTTTGCATGCGTGTGTGTGTGTGTGCGTACCAGCGTGTGTGTGTGTGCGTACCAGCGTGCATGTGTGTGTGCGTACTAGCGTGTGTGTGTGTGTGTGCGTACCAGCGTGTGTGTGCGTGCATACCAGCGTGCGTGTGTGTGTGTGTACCAGCGTGTGTGTGTGTGTGTACCAGCGTGTGTGTGTGTGCGTACCAGCGTGTGTGTGCGTGCGTACCAGCGTGTGTGTGCGTGCGTACCAGCGTGTGTGTGTGTGTGCGTACCAGCGTGTGTGTGTGTGTGTGTGCATACCAGCGTGTGTGTGTGTGTGCGTGCGTACCAGAGTGTGTGTGTGTGTGTGCGTACCAGCGTGTGTGTGTGTACCAGCGTTTGTGTGTGTGTGTGTGCGTACCAGCGTGTGTGTGTGTGCGTACCAGCGTGTGTGTGTGTGTGCGTACCAGCGTGTGTGTGTACCAGCGTGTGTGTGTGTGCGTATCAGCGTGTGTGTGTGTGTGTGCGTACCAGCGTGTGTGTGTGTGCGTACCAGCGTGTGTGTGTGTGTGTACCAGCGTGTGTGTGTGTGTACCAGCGTGTGTGTGTGTGCGTACCAGCGTGCGTGTGTGTGCGTACCAGCGTGCGTGTGTGTGCGTGCGTACCAGCGTGTGTGTGTGTGCGTACCAGCGTGTGTGTGTGTGCGTACCAGCGTGTGTGTGTGTGTACCAGCGTGTGTGTGTGTGTGCGTACCAGCGTGTGTGTGTGTGTGTACCAGCGTGTGTGTGTGTGCGCACCAGCGTGCGTGTGTTTGCGTGCGTACCAGCGTGTGTGTGTGTGCGTACCAGCGTGCGTGTGTGTGCGTGCGTACCAGCGTGTGTGTGTGTGTGTGTACCAGCGTGCGTGTGTGTGTGTACCAGCGTGTGTGTGTGTGTACCAGCGTGTGTGTGTGTGTGTGTACCAGCGTGTGTGTGTGTGTACCAGCGTGCGTGCGTCAGTGGCCGTGGCGGGGCGAAGCCGTCGAAGCGGTTGCTGTGTTTGTAGTCACTGCCGTGGGTCTCCGCGAACTCCCGCAGCGATTTGCTCCACCACAAGCTGTGGCGGAACGATGGGCAGCGCACCGTCAGTGTCCTGCACGCGAGAGGCAGGGGGGAGGGTGCAGGAGGGGAAACACGGTGAGTCCTATAGAGACGCAGGGGCACGGTGAGTCCTATAGAGACGCAGGGACATGGTGAATCCTATAGAGACACAGGGACATGGTGAGTCCTATAGAGACGCAGGGACACGGTGAGTCTTATAGAGACGCAGGGACACGGTGAGTCCTATAGAGACACAGGGACACGGTGAGTCCTATAGAGACGCAGGGACACGGTGAGTCCTATAGAGACGCAGAGACACGGTGAGTCCTATAGAGACGCAGGGACACGGTGAATCCTATAGAGACGCAGGGACACAGTGAGTCCTATAGAGACGCAGAGACACGGTGAGTCCTATAGAGACGCAGGGACACGGTGAGTCCTATAGAGACGCAGGGACACGGTGAGTCCTATAGAGACGCAGGGACACAGTGAGTCCTATAGAGACGCAGGGACACGGTGAGTCCTATAGAGACGCAGGGACACGGTGAGTCCTATAGAGACGCAGGGACACGGTGAGTCCTATAGAGATGCAGAGACACGGTGAGTCCTATAGAGACGCAGGGACACGGTGAATCCTATAGAGACGCAGGGACACGGTGATTCCTATAGAGACACAGGGACACGGTGAGTCCTATAGAGACGCAGGGACACGGTGAGTCCTATAGAGACACAGGGACACGGGGAGTCCTATAGAGACACAGGGACACGGTGAGTCCTATAGAGACGCAGGACACGGTGAGTCCTATAGAGACGCAGGGACACAGTGATTCCTATAGAGACGCAGGACGTGGTGAGTCCTATAGAGACACAGGAACACGGTGAGTCCTATAGAGACACAGGGACACGGTGAGTCCTATAGAGGCGCAGGGACACGGTGAGTCCTATAGAGACACAGGAACACGGTGAGTCCTATTGAGACGCAGGGACACGGTGAGTCCTATAGAGACGCAGGGACACAGTGAGTCCTTTAGAGATGCAGGGACACGGCTAGTCCTATAGAGACACAGGGACACAGTGAGTCCTATAGAGATGCAGGGACACGGCTAGTCCTATAGAGACGCAGGGACACGGTGAGTCCTATAGAGACACAGGGATGCGGCGAGTCCTATAGAGATGCAGGGACACGGCAAGTCCTATAGAGACACAGAGACGCGGTGAGTCCTATAGAGACACAGGAACACAGTGAGTCCTATAGAGACACAGGGACACGGTGAGTCCTATAGAGACACAGGGAAACGGTGAGTCCTATAGCGACACAGGGACACGGTGAGTCCTATAGAGACGCAGGGACACGGCGAGTCCTATAGAGACGCAGGGACACGGCGAGTCCTATAGAGACACAGGGACACGGTGAGTCCTATAGAGACGCAGGGACACGGTGAGTCCTATAGAGACGCAGGGAGACGGTGAGTCCTATAGAGACGCATGGACACGGTGAGTCCTATAGAGACGCAGGGACACGGTGAGTCCTATAGAGACGCAGAGACACGGTGAGTCCTATAGAGACACAGGGACACGGTGAGTCCTATAGAGACACAGAGACACGGTGAGTCCTATAGAGACGCAGAGACACGGTGAGTCCTATAGAGACGCAGGGGCACGGTGAGTCCTATAGAGACACAGGGGCACGGTGAGTCCTATAGAGACGCAGGGACACGGTGAGTCCTATAGAGACGCAGGGACACGGCGAGTCCTATAGAGACACAGGGGCACGGTGAGTCCCATAGAGACGCAGGGACACGGCGAGTCCTAGAGAGACGCAGAGACACGGTGAGTCCTATAGAGACACAGGGACACGGTGAGTCCTATAGAGACGCAGGGGCACGGTGAGTCCTATAGAGACACAGGGGCACGGTGAGTCCTATAGAGACGCAGGGACACGGTGAGTCCTATAGAGACGCAAGGACACGGTGAGTCCTATAGAGATGCAGGGACACGGCGAGTCCTACAGAGACGCAGGGACACGGTGAGTCCTATAGAGACGCAGGGACACGGTGAGTCCTATAGAGACACAGGGACACGGCGAGTCCTATAGAGACGCAGGGACACGGTGAGTCCTATAGAGACGCAGGGACACGGTGAGTCCTATAGAGACGCAGGGACACGGTGAGTCCTATAGAGACGCAGGGACACGGTGAGTCCTATAGAGACGCAGGGACACGGTGAGTCCTATAGAGACGCAGGGACACGGTGAGTCCTATAGAGACGCAGGGACACGGCGAGTCCTATAGAGAAGCAGGGACACGGTGAGTCCTATAGAGACACAGTGACACGGCGAGTCCTATAGAGACGCAGGGACACGGTGAGTCCTATAGAGACACAGGGACACGGAGAGTCCTATAGAGACGCAGGGACACGGTGAGTCTTATAGATACGCAGGGACACGGTGAGTCCTATAGAGACGCAGGGACACGGTGAGTCCTATAGAGACGCAGGGACACGGCGAGTCCTATAGAGACGCAGGGACACGGTGAGTCCTATAGAGACGCAGGGACACGGTGAGTCCTATAGAGACGCAGGGACACGGTGAGTCCTATAGAGACGCAGGGACACGGTGAGTCCTATAGAGACGCAGGGACACGGTGAGTCCTATAGAGACGCAGGGACACGGTGAGTCTATAGAGACGCAGGGACACGGTGAGTCCTATAGAGACGCAGGGACACGGTGAGTCCTATAGAGACGCAGGGACATGGCGAGTCCTATAGAGAAGCAGGGACACGGTGAGTCCTATAGAGACACAGTGACACGGCGAGTCCTATAGAGACGCAGGGACACGGTGAGTCCTATAGAGACACAGGGACACGGCGAGTCCTATAGAGACGCAGGGACACGGTGAGTCCTATAGATACGCAGGGACACGGTGAGTCCTATAGAGACGCAGGGACACGGTGAGTCCTATAGAGACGCAGGGGCACGGTGAGTCCTATAGAGACACAGGGGCACGGTGAGTCCTATAGAGACGCAGGGACACGGTGAGTCCTATAGAGACGCAGGGACACGGCGAGTCCTATAGAGACACAGGGGCACGGTGAGTCCCATAGAGACGCAGGGACACGGCGAGTCCTATAGAGACGCAGAGACACGGTGAGTCCTATAGAGACACAGGGACACGGTGAGTCCTATAGAGACACAGAGACACGGTGAGTCCTATAGAGACGCAGAGACACGGTGAGTCCTATAGAGAAGCAGGGACACGGTGAGTCCTATAGAGACGCAGGGACACGGTGAGTCCTATAGAGACGCAGGGACACGGTGAGTCCTATAGAGACGCAGGGACACGGTGAGTCCTTTAGAGACGCAGGGGCACGGTGAGTCCTATAGAGACGCAGGGACACGGTGAGTCCTATAGAGACGCAAGGACACGGTGAGTCCTATAGAGACGCAAGGACACGGCGAGTCCTACAGAGACGCAGGGACACGGTGAGTCCTATAGAGACGCAGGGACACGGTGAGTCCTATAGAGACACAGGGACACGGCGAGTCCTATAGAGACGCAGGGACACGGTGAGTCCTATAGAGACGCAGGGACACGGTGAGTCCTATAGAGACGCAGGGACACGGTGAGTCCTATAGAGACGCAGGGACACGGTGAGTCCTATAGAGACGCAGGGACACGGTGAGTCCTATAGAGACGCAGGGACACGGTGAGTCCTATAGAGACGCAGGGACACGGTGAGTCCTATAGAGACACAGGGACACGGCGAGTCCTATAGAGACGCAGGGACACGGTGAGTCCTATAGATACGCAGGGACACGGTGAGTCCTATAGAGACGCAGGGACACGGTGAGTCCTATAGAGACGCAGGGACACGGCGAGTCCTATAGAGACGCAGGGACACGGTGAGTCCTATAGAGACGCAGGGGCACGGTGAGTCCTATAGAGACACAGGGGCACGGTGAGTCCTATAGAGACGCAGGGACACGGTGAGTCCTATAGAGACGCAGGGACACGGCGAGTCCTATAGAGACACAGGGGCACGGTGAGTCCCATAGAGACGCAGGGACACGGCGAGTCCTATAGAGACGCAGGGACACGGTGAGTCCTATAGAAACGCAGGGACACGGTGAGTCCTATAGAGACGCAGGGACATGGCGAGTTCTATAGAGACGCAGGGACACGGCGAGTCCTATAGAGACGCAGGGACACGGCGAGTCCTATAGAGACGCAGGGACACGGTGAGTCCTATAGAGACGCAGGAACACGGCGAGTCCTATAGAGACGCAGGGACACGGCGAGTCCTATAGAGACACAGGGACACGGTGAGTCCCCCCGTGCCCCCCTCCCCCCCGCCCCCCCCCGCCACCTGCTCATGTTCTCGATGTTGACGCGCGCCGTCTTGTCTGCGTGGCTGCTGTCGTTGCTGTTGTTGGTCTGCGCGTCAAAGTCGCGGTCGAAGAGCAGCACGCCGGAGACGTGGCCACCGTCGGCGTCCGTGTACAGCAGGAACGAGTCCTTGAGCACGAACCACCTGGGTCCACGGGGGGGGGGGGCGGGGGGGGCATGGTGGTGGGGGTGGGGGCGCGGGGGGTGCGTGGGGGGGAGGGGGCAACACGAGTCGTCGTCCGTGAAACTCATCAGTACAATTGTATTGGGGACAGTGCGTTAGTGTGGAGTGGCACGTGCAGCTGTGCGGGGCGGCACGTGCGGTTGTGTGGGTGGCACGTGACGGGCGTGTCAGGTGGCGCGTGCGGGAAAAATGTGGGGCGGCACGTGCGGACATGTGGTGTTGCACGTGTGGGTGCGTAGGGTGGCACGTATCGGTGTGTCTGTGTGTGTGCACAGGCAGGTTGTGCGTGGGTGGCACGTGTTGGCGTGTGGGTGCCCGTACCGCTTGGACCAGCGTGAGCACGCCTCACCACCCCCACAGTGGCCCATCTTGTACCCACCGGAGCGCTTCATCAGATAGCCCTCACTGGCACGGGGCATGGGGGAGGTGGACATGGGGGAGGGGGGGGGACACGGGGGGGGGGGACGGGGGGTGGGGGCCACGAGGTGGGGGATATTGGAGGGGGGATATGGGGTGGGGGGGACGGGGGGTGGTCATTGGGAGGGGGGGACACAGGGGAAAAAGTACAGAGAGAGGAGTGTCAGTGGATGTGTGTGTGTGCGTGTATGAGTGTGTGTGTGTGCGTGTATGAGTGAGTGTGTGTGTGTGCGTGTATGAGTGTGTGTGAGTGTGTGTGAGTGTGTGCGTCTATGAGTGTGTGCCTGTGTGAGTGTGTGTGTGGAGTAGCACGAGTGGCTGGCTGAGGTGCCATCTGTTGAGGAAGTTCTGAGGGCGATCCGGAGTCTGAGACCAGGAAAGGCACCGGGTAGAGATGATCTCCCAAGCGAAATGCTGAGGGAGGGTGGCGTTTGTGCACAGACTGCCCTACGTGACATCATAACAACAGTCTGGACCACTGGACGGGTTCCGCAGGATTGGAAGGATGCCCTGGTGGTTCCCCGTCTTTAAGAAGGGGGACCGCACAGACTGTAACAACTACAGGGGCATCTCACTCCTCAGTGTGCCGGGAAAGGTCTTGGCAAGGATTATTCAACATCGCCTTGCCAGGCACACTGAGGAGAGGCTTGCGGAGCCCCAATGCGGTTTCAGGAAAGGGCGGTCCTGCACAGATGGTGTAGGGAATTCCAACAAGACCTAAATCTCTGCTTTATTCACCTGGTCAAGGCCTATGATATCATCAGTAGGCCTGGGCTCTGGGTTGTTCTTCGTGCTTTCGGAGTCCCTGACCCTCTGCTCACGATCATTAAGGACCTTCATGATGGTGAGCAGGCCCGGGTAAAACTACGTGGCCGGGAGTCATAGCCATTCCCTGTACACCACGTTATTTAACATCTATTTTGGCCACGTAGTTCGTGAAGCCTTCAATAGCTGTACCGGGGGAATCTCCATATGGTACAGATATAATGGGAGGCTGATCGATGCCCGGGTGCAGTCAAGGGATGGCTCTCTATTGCTCAACCACGTTATGTATGCTGATGATTTGGTAATAGCTGCTCATTCAGAGGAGGAGTTGGAGATGCTGCTGCTGAGACTGGAGCGTGCCACTAAGAAATGGGGCCTTACCATCAGCCCCACCAAAACTAAGCACCTGCCTGGGTATTTTGTACCATCGGACACTCCACCCCCACAACTCACAATCGGTGATGGGGCAGTTGTGGAGAGAGTGGAGAGTTTCCCATACCTGGGAAGTGTGCTTATGACCGGCTCCAGTTTAACAGCAGAGGTCTCACTCCGAATCAGTCGAGCGGCAATATCTTTTCATCGGTTGCGTAACGCTGTGTGGAAGCTACCTGGTCTGTTGCTCCGCACTAAGCTTCAGGTCTTCTCGGCCACGGTCATTCCCTCCCTTCTCTACGCTTGCGAAACATGGACCCCGCAAATGGAACATCTTCGCCGGTTAGAAACATTTAGGCTGGCCTGCCTACGATCCATCCTGGGTTTAACCAGACTGGATTGTGTGAGGAGCTCACAAATCCTTGAAAGATCTGGACAAGGTCCCATCGGTGAGCTCCTCCGGCGGGCAAGGCTGCATTGGCTGGGTCATGTAGCCCGCATGCCCAGCCACCGCATACCTAAACAGCTTTTGTTCAGCCGGATCGAGCAGGCTAAACGGGTGCGGCACGGGCTAGAGAAGAGATGGAGTGATGTGGTACAGGAGGACGTGGAGCTGAGTGGACTTGCCGTTGACTGGTAGTAGCGGTGTCAAGATCGGCCTCTGTGGAGGAGGCTCGTGAAGGACGCTACTGGGCAGTTGGAGGCAGTCGCCCTCCAACAACAACGGAGGGTGGAGGAGCGACGCTCAGAACAACGAGCGGAGCGCCAGGTGGCTAAAGCACAGCGGGTTGGCACAGTAGGGGGCACAGGTGGTGCATCAGCCAGTCATCTCAGTCAGTCGACCCGTGGCACCTGGGTCTGCCCCGTGACCTCCTGCCAGCGGGCGTTCGACACTCCACGTGGCCTCAAGGTGCATATGGCCTGGCACAAGCGTCATGGTGACGTCACCGCCACTTAGTGGCGAATGGCGGTTGTTGTTGTTGTGGGTGTGCAGGCGTGTGTGTGTGTATGTGTGTGAGTGTGTGTGTATGTGTGAGTGTGTGTGTGTGAGTGTGTGTGTATGTGTGAGTGTGTGTGTATGTGTGAGTGTGTGTGTATGTGTGTGAGTGTGTGTGTGAGTGTGTGAGTGTGTGGGTGTGAGTGTGTGTGTATGTGTGTGAGTGTGTGTGTATGTGTGTGAATGTGTGTATGTGTGAGTGTGTGTGTATGTGTGTGAGTGTGTGTGTGAGTGTGTGTGTATGAGTGTGTGTGTATGTGTGTATGTGTGTGAGTGCGGTGCCGGACGGGCAACTCTGTCGTGGACAGTGCTGTGGGGGGAGTTCCAATTTTGATTGGCTCCTCCCCTCATGGCATATGTGTCCACCACAGGGGCTAAACGGGGGCTCTGGACGGGTGCGAGGGGCTGGTAACCCCTCCACCTTCAATTAATTACCACAAAACCACGAATTAAAGTGAAATATGTAACAACTAAGCTTGTGCCGGAGGCCCCGGGGGGCCAGGCGTCTATGACGTCTCCTGGCCAAACCCCAATTGGCGGAGCCAGGAGATTGAATACCTACCCTCGGGGCTACTCCAGAAACAACGAAAAGCCACTACGGGTGGCCACGTGGAATGTTCGAACGCTCACTGCAGAGGAGAGGCTGCCACTCCTCTGTCGGGAGCTGGACCGGTACCGCATGGATCTATGCGGCATTCAGGAGGTCCGGTGGACCGGCTCTGGCTCCTGCCACCATGAGGGGTGGACAGTCCTCTACTCGGGGCAGCAGACTGCCAAACAACAGGGTGTGGGTCTTCTTTTGAACAAAAGAATGAAGGGGGCGTGGGAGCGTGGCGGTGAGGTGTGGGAAGCTGTAAGCCCCAGGCTACTTTGGGCTCGCCTTCCCATCAACCGGAGGCGAGGAATGGTGGTCGTGGTTACTTATGCCCCCACCGAAGATGAACATCCGTGGAGGGATGCAGGCAAAGCCGATGAGTCAGATGCCTTCTATGACCTCCTGTCACAGGTGCTGGCTAAAGTGGCCCCTCGGGATAGAGTCATCATGTTGGGTGACTTCAATGCCCGAGTTGGTCATGATACTGGCACCTGGTCTGGAGTGATTGGAGGGCATGGGCCAGATCAGCTCAATAACAACGGTAGGAGGCTGCTAGATTTTTGTGCAGCCCATGGGCTTGTAATTACCAACACGCTGTTCCGGCATCGGCGCATCCACACAACATCATGGATGCATGCCGGGTCCAAGCAAGAACATCTGCTGGACTACATAGTGACGGACCAGCGAATGCGAGCCCATGTCCTTGACACCAGGACCTACCGTGGAGCTGATCTGCCCTCTGACCATCGACTAGTCATCTGTAAGATGCGCCTGCCATTCTTCCACTCCGGTGGTGGGTGTACACCCAGGACCCCATTCCAACCTAAAGTGGCCTGGTCTCAGTTATCTGATGAAAGTTGCAAGCGAGAATTTCATCATCGCTTGCGGCTGGGATTGGCATCGTCCCCGACTCCTCCTGATGTCGAGGGTAAATGGGCGAGGTTTAGGACTGTGACTCATGCAGCTGCAATGGCTGCTTTGGGTACGCGGTCCAGACCTCCCCAGACACCCTGGATGACAGAGGAGTTGTTCAGGATGGTTGAGAAAAAGCGACAGGCCCACTGTCATCGGCTACAGAATCCCACGTCAGAGAATGAGGAGGCTTACCGCAGCCTTCGCTCGGAGGTTCGGAGAGCCGTGAGGCGCTGCAAGGATGGGTGGTGGTCGCGGGTTGCTGAGGAGATGGAGTCTGCCTCAGTGGCCCGTGATCACAAATCGCTATTTAACTCCATCAAAAAAGTAACCTGCAGCGCCACACCTATTACCATCATTAGGGGAAAAAACGGTGATCCAATTTCCGACCCCCAGGAACAGGTTCGCAGATTTGCTGAGCATTTCTGTGAGGTCCTGGGGGAGGGAAAATCCCACAGCCAGGAAAACATCGTGGCACAAAGTGAGGATGACCCTGCTGAGGCTGCGGTGCCTCAAATATTGGATGAAGTCACCCCCTGTGAGTGGCTGGCTGAGGTGCCATCTGCTGAGGAAGTATTGAAGGCGATACGGAGTCTGAGACCAGGAAAGGCAGCGGGCAGAGATGATCTCCCAAGCGAAATGCTGAGGGAGGGTGGCGTTTGTGCACAGACTGCCCTATATGACATCATAACAACAGTCTGGACCACTGGACGGGTTCCGCAGGATTGGAAGGATGCCCTGGTGGTCCCCCTTTTTAAGAAGGGGGACCGCACAGACTGTAACAACTACAGGGGCATCTCACTCCTCAGTGTGCCGGGAAAGGTCCTGGCAAGGATTATTCAGCATCGCCTTGCCAGGCACGCTGAGGAGAGGCTTGCGGAGCCCCAATGCGGTTTCAGGAAAGGGCGGTCCTGCACAGATGCCATATTTTCTGTCCGTCTGCTACAGCAGAGGTGTAGGGAATTCCAACAAGACCTACATCTCTGCTTTATTGACCTGGTCAAGGCCTATGATACCATCAGTAGGCCTGGGCTCTGGGTCGTTCTTCGTGCTTTTGGAGTACCTGACCCTCTGCTCACCATCATGAAGGTCCTTAATGATGGTGAGCGGGCCCGGGTAAAACTACGTGGCCGGGAGTCAGAGCCATTCCCTGTACACCTTGGGGTGCGACAGGGATGTCCTCTGGCTCCCACATTATTTAACATCTATTTTGACCACGTAGTTCGTGAAGCCTTCAATAGCTGTACCGGGGGAATCTCCATATGGTACAGATATAATGGGAGGCTAATCGATGCCCGGGTGCGGTCAAGGGATGGCTCCCTATTGCTCAACCACGTTATGTATGCTGATGACTTGGTAATAGCTGCTCAGTCAGAGGAGGAGTTGGAGACGCTGCTGCTGAGACTGGAGCGTGCCACTAAGAGGTGGGGCCTTACCATCAGCCCCACCAAAACTAAGCACCTGCCTGGGTATTTTGTACCATCGGACACTCCACCCCCACAACTCCCAATCGGTGATGGGGCAGTTGTGGAGAGAGTGGAGAGTTTCCCATACCTGGGCAGTGTGCTTATGACTGGCTCCAGTTTAACAGCAGAGGTCTCACTCCGAATCAGTCGAGCGGCAATATCTTTTCATCGGTTGCGTAACGCTGTGTGGAAGCTACCTGGTCTGTCGCTCCGCACTAAGCTTCAGGTCTTCTCGGCCACGGTCATTCCCTCCCTTCTCTACGCTTGCGAAACGTGGACCCCCCTAATGGAACATCTTCGCCGGTTAGAAACATTTAGGCTGACCTGCCTACGATCCATCCTGGGTTTAACCAGACTGGATTGTGTGAGGAGCTCACAAATCCTTGAAAGATCTGGGCAGGGTCCCATCGGTGAGCTCCTCCGGCAGGCAAGGCTGCGATGGCTGGGTCATGTAGCCCGCATGCCCAGCCACCGCATGCCGAAACAGCTTTTGTTTGGCCGGATTGAGGGGGCTAAGCGGGCGCGGCACGGGCTAGAGAAGAGATGGAGTGATGTGGTACAGGAGGACGTGGAGCTGAGTGGACTTGCCGATGACTGGTACCAGCGGTGTCAAGATCGGCCTCTGTGGAGGAGGCTCGTGAAGGATGCTACTGGGCAGTTGGAGGCAGTCGCCCTCCAACAACAACGGAGGGCGGAGGAGCGACGCTCACAACAGCGAGCGGAGCGCCGGGTGGCTAAAGCACAGCAGGTTGGCACAGTAGGGGGCACAGGTGGTGCATCAGCCAGTCATCTCAGTCAGTCGACCCGTGGCACCTGGGTCTGCCCCGTGACCTCCTGCCAGCGGGCGTTCGACACTTCACGTGGCCTCAGGGTGCACATAGCCTGGCACAAGCGTCGTGGTGACGTCACCGCCACTTAGTGGCGAATGGCGGTTGTTGTTGTTGTTGTTGTGTATGTGTGTGAGTGTGTGTGTATGTGTGTGAGTGTGTGGGTGTGTCACTCACATGCCCTTAGGTCCCAGGTCTCGGATGAATGAGAGGAAACTCACTTCCAGGAACTCCCACTGTACACACGCGTGACAGGTAACACGTGACACGTCATGCACGGCATCTGACATGTGACACGTGACACGTGACACGCGCGACACACGCGGGACACAACACGTGACGCATTCAACACACAAGCGGGACGCGACACGTGACACACGCGACACACGTGACACACGTGACACACGCGACACGTGACACACGTGACACACGACACACGTGCGACACGTCACACGCGTGACGCACGACACGCGAGAGGCGTGCCACCCACCATGGCCGCGTAGTCCCTGTAGATCGGCGTCTCCAGCAGCGTGCTCAGGTACTGCTCGATCTGCTTCTGCACCGCAAAGCGAGACACAAAGGCAAAGTTCCCCCACGCCGTCAGCCTTCGCGAGCCGCTTGTTTGAGGCCGAGTCAACCTAGGGGACGGCCAGCACCGGTGAAGGCGTCCCTCACCGGTGAAGGCGTTCATCACCGGTGAAGGCGTCCGTCACCGGTAAAGGTGTTCGTCACCGGTGAAGGCGGTCGTCACCGGTGAAGGCGTCTCGTCACCGGTGAAGGCGTTCGTCACCGGTGAAGGCGGTCGTCACCGGTGAAGGCGGTCGTTACCGGTGAAGGCGTCCGTCACCGGTGAAGGCGTCTCGTCACCGGTGAAGGCGTTCGTCACCGGTTGAAGGCGTCTCGTTACCGGTGAAGGCGTCCGTCACCGGTGAAGGTGTTCGTCACCGGTGAAGGCGATCGTCACCGGTGAAGGCGTCTCGTCACCGGTGAAGGCGTTCGTCACCGGTGAAGGCGTTCGTCACCGGTGAAGGTGTTCGTCACCGGTGAAGGTGATCGTCACCGGTGAAGGCGTCTCGTCACCGGTGAAGGCGTCTCGTCACCGGTGAAGGTGTTCGTCACCGGTGAAGGTGTTCGTCACCGATGAAGGCGGTCGTCACCAGTTGTGGTTGTGGTGGTTGTGGTGGTAGTCACCCTGCGGATGGACGTGGTGGTGGTTGTGGTTGTTGTGGTTGTTGTGGTCACCCTGCGGATGGACGTGGTGACCGTGGTGGTTGTGGTGGTGATTGTGGTGGTGGTGGTTGTGGTGGTGGTTGTGGTGGTGGTTGTGGTGGTGGTTGTGGTTGTGGTGGTGGTTGTGGTGGTGGTGGTGGTTGTGGTTGTGGTGGTTGTGGTGGTGGTCACCCTGCGGATGGACGTGGTGGTGGTAGTAACTGTGGTGGTGGTGACCGTGGTGGTGGTTGTGGTGGTGGTGGTTGTGGTTGTGGTGGTGGTTGTGGTGGTTGTGGTGGTTGTGGTTGTGGTGGTGGTTGTGGTTGTGGTGGTGGTTGTGGTGGTGGTTGTGGTGGTTGTGGTGGTGGTTGTGGTGGTTGTGGTGGTGGTTGTGGTGGTTGTGGTGGTGGTTGTGGTGGTGGTTGTGGTGGTTGTGGTGGTGGTTGTGGTGGTTGTGGTGGTGGTTGTGGTCACCCTGCGGATGGACGTGGTGTGCTCGTCACGACCACCGCCATCGAGGTCGTCATGACGCTTCCCATCGACAATTCGGTGCGGCAGCGCCGGAATCTTCCGGTCGTCGCCGTCGCGGCCTCCACGGCGAGGACCGCAGCCTGGGGGCACGGGGGGGGGGCACGGGGGGGGCACGGGGGGAGGGCACGGGGGGAGGGCACGGGGGGAGGGCACGGGGGGGGGCACGGGGGGGGCACGGGGGGGCACGGGGGGGGGCACGGGGGGGGCACGGGGGGGGGCATGGGGGGGCGGCACAGGTGGTGTAGGTGGTACAGGTGGTGCAGGTGGTGTAGGTGGTACAAGTGGTGCAGGTGGTACAGGTGCTACAGGTGGTGCAGGTGGTGTACGTGGTACAGGTGGTGTACGTGGTACAGGTGGTACAGGTGGTACAGGTGGTGTAGGTGGTGTAGGTTGTGTAGGTGGTACAGGTGGTACAGGTGGTGTAGGTAATTACAGGTGGTGTACGTGGTACAGGTGGTACAGGTGGTGCAGGTGGTGTAGGTGGTGTAGGTGGTACAGGTGGTGCAGGTGGTACAGGTGGTGTAGGTGGTACAGGTGGTGTACATGGTACAGGTGGTGTAGGTGGTGCAGGTGGTACAGGTGGTACAGGTGGTGTACGTGGTACAGGTGGTACAGGTGGTGCAGGTGGTACAGGTGGTACAGGTGGTGTACGTGGTGCAGGTGGTACAGGTGGTACAGGTGGTACAGGTGGTGCAGGTGGTACAGGTGGTACAGATGGTGCAGGTGGTACAGGTGGTACAGGTGGTACAGGTGGTGTACGTGGTACAGGTGGTACAGGTGGTACAGGTGGTGCAGGTGGTACAGGTGGTACAGGTGGTGCAGGTGGTACAGGTGGTACAGGTGGTGCAGGTGGTACAGGTGGTACAGGTGGTGCAGGTGGTACAGGTGGTACAGGTGGTGCAGGTGGTGCAGGTGGTGCAGGCGGGGTGGCGCTACCCGCGTGTCGGGATTGGGATGTGCAGGAGGGTGCGGTAGCGCTGCAGCTCCTGGTGCAGCGCCTGGAAGTGTTTGTAGCGCCGGCGGATGGTCCAGGCGAACTCTCCGTGCGACAGCTCCACCGTGAACATGCACGAACTCTTCTCCTGCACCCACAGCGATCGATAGATACTCTGTGATCAATACACGAGGATCAATACATCGCCATTTGGTGATGTCTATTCGCGAAATGAATCATTTGGCGGGACCCCGGGGTCAATAATTATCATAATAATTATTGTTGTTGTTGTTGTTCAGTCCGCCCACTCGCGACCCCGCCAGCAACGCGCCGCCCGCCCAGACTCACGCCAACAAGCGCCGGCAGCGGCGATCGGCACGACGGGCGCCACCCCGCCGGACAAACGCGAGCCCCGGCGATCCTCGGCTTCTTTGGCGAGGCGAGCCGCCCGCCCCCCCACCAGGCGGTGAATTTGCCGAGTTCGTGTGAAGTTTCTACTTTTGACGAGGCTTCGTGCCCCGAGTAGCTCCCGACGAGGCCAATCGATCGACGCTGGTTTTGTCGTCGGTAAGGCAACGAGACTCCTGTCGCTACGCGGGGGTTCACACCACGGGGCCGTGATGGGAACCCGGGGTCCCGCCAATTGCTTCAAATGATCAATACTCGGATATCAATGATCTGAGATCAATGCTCGCTCGAGTATAAATACTCGGAGATCATTACTCAGAGATCAAATTCTCGAATATCAATACGCAATCATCATTACTCGGCGATCAATACTCGATTACCAATACATCAAATTCACGCACCCCAGACTTGTTCACCCCCCACGTGCATCACGCCCCCCCCCCGCACGTGACGTCACAGACTCCGCCCCCCACGTGACGCCACAGCCCCCCCCCCGCGCGTGACGTCACAGACCCCACCCCCCCGTGCGTGACGCCACAGGCCCCACCCCCCCCACGCGTGACGCCCCAGGTCCCGCCCCCCGGCGCGTGACGCCACTGGGCCCTCCCCCCCCCGCGCGCGACGTCACAGACCCCGCCCCCCCGCGCGTGACGTCACAGGCCGCTCACCGCGCGCGACGATCCGAGGCGCTCCACGTGAGTGACGCGCACCCTGAAGCCGCGTCCCGGCAGGAAGACGGAGCGCTCCGCGCTCGGCCGCTGGATGCTCGCGAAGGCGATGGCCGCCCCCGTGGCCGCCTCCCCTGCTCACGCGAAACACGCGGCCAGAGGCAAAGGTCCCCCGCGTGGTGGGGCAAGGGCTCTTGGTGAGTGTGGCAGGGCAAGAGCTCTTGGTGAGTGTGGCAGGGCAAGAGGTCTTGGTGAGTGTGGCAGGGCAAGGGCTCTTGGTGAGTGTGGCAGGGCAAGAGGTCTTGGTGAGTGTGGCAGGGCAAGAGGTCTTGGTGAGTGTGGCAGGGCAAGAGCTCTTGGTGAGTGTGGCAGGGCAAGAGCTCTTGGTGAGTGTGGCAGGGCAAGGGCTCTTGGTGAGTGTGGCAGGACAAGGGCTCTTGGTGAGTGTGGCAGGGCAAGGGCTCTTGGTGAGTGTGGCAGGGCAAGAGCTCTTGGTGAGTGTGGCAGGGCAAGGGCTCTTGGTGAGTGTGGCAGGACAAGGGCTCTTGGTGAGTGTGGCAGGGCAAGGGCTCTTGGTGAGTGTGGCAGGACAAGGGCTCTTGGTGAGTGTGGCAGGACAAGGGCTCTTGGTGAGTGTGGCAGGGCAAGGGCTCTTGGTGAGTGTGGCAGGACAAGAGCTCTTGGTGAGTGTGGCAGGACAAGGGCTCTTGGTGAGTGTGGCAGGGCAAGAGGTCTTGGTGAGTGTGGCAGGGCAAGAGCTCTTGGTGAGTGTGGCAGGGCAAGAGGTCTTGGTGAGTGTGGCAGGGCAAGGGCTCTTGGTGAGTGTGGCAGGGCAAGAGGTCTTGGTGAGTGTGGCAGGGCAAGAGATCTTGGTGAGTGTGGCAGGGCAAGGGCTCTTGGTGAGTGTGGCAGGGCAAGAGCTCTTGGTGAGTGTGGCAGGGCAAGGGCTCTTGGTGAGTGTGGCAGGGCAAGAGCTCTTGGTGAGTGTAGCAGGGCAAGAGGTCTTGGTGAGTGTGGCAGGGCAAGAGCTCTTGGTGAGTGTGGCAGGGCAAGAGGTCTTGGTGAGTGTGGCAGGGCAAGAGCTCTTGGTGAGTGTGGCAGGGCAAGAGGTCTTGGTGAGTGTGGCAGGGCAAGAGCTCTTGGTGAGTGTGGCAGGGCAAGAGGTCTTGGTGAGTGTGGCAGGGCAAGAGGTCTTGGTGAGTGTGGCAGGGCAAGGGCTCTTGGTGAGTGTGGCAGGGCAAGGGCTCTTGGTGAGTGTGGCAGGGCAAGGGCTCTTGGTGAGTGTGGCAGGGCAAGGGCTCTTGGTGAGTGTGGCAGGGCAAGAGGTCTTGGTGAGTGTGGCAGGGCAAGAGGTCTTGGTGAGTGTGGCAGGGCAAGAGCTCTTGGTGCGTGTGGCAGGGCAAGGGCTCTTGGTGAGTGTGGCAGGGCAAGAGCTCTTGGTGAGTGTGGCAGGGCAAGAGGTCTTGGTGAGTGTGGCAGGACAAGGGCTCTTGGTGAGTGTGGCAGGACAAGAGCTCTTGGTGAGTGTGGCAGGACAAGGGCTCTTGGTGAGTGTGGCAGGGCAAGAGCTCTTGGTGAGTGTGGCAGGGCAAGGGCTCTTGGTGAGTGTGGCAGGGCAAGGGCTCTTGGTGAGTGTGGTAGGACAAGAGCTCTTGGTGAGTGTGGCAGGGCAAGGGCTCTTGGTGAGTGTGGCAGGGCAAGAGCTCTTGGTGAGTGTGGCAGGGCAAGGGCTCTTGGTGAGTGTGGCAGGGCAAGAGGTCTTGGTGAGTGTGGCAGGGCAAGAGGTCTTGGTGAGTGTGACAGGGCAAGAGCTCTTGGTGAGTGTGGCAGGGAAAGAGCTCTTGGTGAGTGTGGCAGGGCAAGAGGTCTTGGTGAGTGTGGCAGGACAAGGGCTCTTGGTGAGTGTGGCAGGGCAAGAGGTCTTGGTGAGTGTGGCAGGGCAAGGGCTCTTGGTGAGTGTGGCAGGGCAAGGGCTCTTGGTGAGTGTGGCAGGGCAAGGGCTCTTGGTGAGTGTGGCAGGGCAAGGGCTCTTGGTGAGTGTGGCAGGGCAAGAGCTCTTGGTGAGTGTGGCAGGGCAAGGGCTCTTGGTGAGTGTGGCAGGGCAAGAGGTCTTGGTGAGTGTGGCAGGGCAAGAGGTCTTGGTGAGTGTGGCAGGGCAAGGGCTCTTGGTGAGTGTGGCAGGGCAAGAGGTCTTGGTGAGTGTGGCAGGGCAAGGGCTCTTGGTGAGTGTGGCAGGGCAAGGGCTCTTGGTGAGTGTGGCAGGGCAAGGGCTCTTGGTGAGTGTGGCAGGGCAAGGGCTCTTGGTGAGTGTGGCAGGGCAAGGGCTCTTGGTGAGTGTGGCAGGGCAAGGGCTCTTGGTGAGTGTGGCAGGGCAAGAGGTCTTGGTGAGTGTGGCAGGGCAAGAGGTCTTGGTGAGTGTGGCAGGGCAAGAGCTCTTGGTGAGTGTGGCAGGGCAAGAGCTCTTGGTGAGTGTGGCAGGACAAGGGCTCTTGGTGAGTGTGGCAGGGCAAGAGGTCTTGGTGAGTGTGGCAGGGAAAGAGGTCTTGGTGAGTGTGGCAGGGCAAGGGCTCTTGGTGAGTGTGGCAGGGCAAGAGCTCTTGGTGAGTGTGGCAGGGCAAGAGGTCTTGGTGAGTGTGGCAGGACAAGAGGTCTTGGTGAGTGACTGGGTGTGTGAGTGGGTGAGTGTGGGTGAGTGAGTGGGTGAGTGAATGGGTGAGTGTGGGTGAGTGAGTGTGAGTGAGTGTGGGTGAGTGAGTGGGTGAGTGAGTGGGTGAGTGTGAGTGAGTGGGTGGGTGAGTGAGTGGGTGAGTTGGTGAGTGGGTAGGTGAGTGTGAGTGAGTGGTGTGAGTGAGTGGGTGAGTGAGTGTGGGTGAGTGTGTGGGTAAGTGAGTGGGTGGGTGAGTGTGAGTGAGTGGGTGAGTGAGTGGGTGAGTGTGGGTGAGTGAGTGGGTGAGTGTGGGTGAGTGGGTGAGTGAGTGGGTGAGTGTGGGTGAGTGAGTGGGTGAGTGAATGGGTGAGTGTGGGTGAGTGAGTGGGTGAGTGAATGATTGAGTGGGTGAGTGAGTGGGTGAGTGAGTGGGTGAGTGAGTGGATGAGTGTGGGTGAGTGTGGGTGAGTGAGTGTGTGAGTGAGTGAGTGGGTGACTGAGGGTGAGTGTGGGTGGGTGAGTGAGTGAGTGTGGGTGAGTGTGAGTGAGTGTGAAGGTGAGTGTGGGTGGGTGAGTGGGTGAGTAAGTGGGTGAGTGTGAGTGAGTGGGTGAGTGAGTGGGTGGGTGAGTGTGAGTGAGTGTGTGTGAGTGTGGGTGATTGTGGGTGAGTGACTGAATGGGTGAGTGTGGATGAGTGTGAGTGAGTGAGTGGGTGAGTGAGTGGGTGAGTGCGGGTGAGTGTGGGTGAGTGGGTGGGTGAGTTTGGGTGAGTGTGGGTGAGTGGGTGAGTGAGTGGGTGAGTGAGTGGGTGAGTGAATGGGTGGGTGAGTGAGTGGCTGAGTGAGTGGGTGAATGAATGGTTGAGTGTGAGTGAGTGTAAGTGAGTGAGTGAGTGGGTGAGTGTGAGTGTGGGTGAGTGTGGGTGAGTGTGGGTGAGTGAGTGAGTGAGTGTGGGTGAGTGTGGGTGAGTGTGAGTGAGTGAGTGAGTGGGTAAGTGTGGATGGGTGAGTGGGTGAGTGTGGGTGAGTGTGAGTGAGTGTGAGTGAGTGTGAGTGAGTTTGAGTGAGTGAGTGAGTGAGTGGGTGAGTGTGGGTGAGTGTGGGTGAGTGTGAGTGAGTGTGAGTGAGTGTGGGTGAGTGAGTGGGTGAGTGGGTGAGTGAGTGAGTGTGGGTGAGTGTGGGTGAGTGAGTGGGTGAGTGGGTGAGTGAGTGAGTGAGTGTGGTTGAGTGTGGGTGAGTGTGGGTGAGTGAGTGGGTGAGTGTGGGTGAGTGTGGTTGGGTGAGTGTGGGTGAGTGTGGGTGAGTGTGAGTGAGTGAGTGAGTGTGGGTGAGTGAGTGTGGGTGAGTGAGTGGTTGAGTGTGGGTGAGTGTGGGTGAGTGTGGGTGAGTGAGTGGCTGAGTGAGTGGGTGACTGTGGGTGAGTGTGAGTGGGTGAGTGTGGGTGAGTGTGAGTGTGGGTGAGTGTGAGTGAGTGTGTGTGAGTGTTGGTGAGTGTGGGTGATGAGTGGGTGAGTGAGTGGGTGAGTGTGGATGAATGAGTGGGTGAGTGTGAGTAAGTGTGGGTGAGTGTGGGTGAGTGTGGGTGAGTGTGGGTGAGTGAGTGAGTGTGGGTGAGTGTGGGTGAGTGTGAGTGAGTGAGTGGGTAAGTGTGGATGAGTGAGTGGGTGAGTGTGGGTGAGTGTGAGTGAGTTTGGGTGAGTGGGTGAGTGAGTGAGTGAGTGGGTGAGTGAGTGAGTGTGTGGGTGAGTTTGGGTGAGTGTGAGTGAGTGTGAGTGAGTGTGAGTGAGTTTGAGTGAGTGTGGGTGAGTGAGTGAGTGAGTGGGTGAGTGTGGGTGAGTGTGAGTGAGTGTGGGTGAGTGAGTGGGTGAGTGGGTGAGTGAGTGAGTGTGGGTGAGTGTGGGTGAGTGTGGGTGAGTGGGTGAGTGTGGGTGAGTGTGGGTGAGTGTGGGTGGGTGAGTGTGGGTGAGTGTGGGTGAGTGAGAGTGAGTGAGTGTGGGTGAGTGGGTGAGTGAGTGGGTGAGTGGGTGAGTGAGTGAGTGTGGGTGAGTGTGGGTGAGTGTGGGTGAGTGAGTGGGTGAGTGTGGGTGAGTGTGGGTGGGTGAATGTGGGTGAGTGTGGGTGAGTGTGAGTGAGTGAGTGAGTGTGGGTGAGTGAGTGTGGGTGAGTGAGTGGGTGAGTGTGGGTGAGTGTGGGTGAGTGTGGGTGAGTGAGTGGCTGAGTGAGTGGGTGACTGTGGGTGAGTGTGAGTGGGTGAGTGTGGGTGAGTGTGAGTGTCAGTGTGGGTGAGTGTGAGTGAGTGTGTGTGAGTGTGGGTGAGTGTGGGTGATGAGTGGGTGAGTGAGTGGGTGAGTGTGGATGAATGAGTGGGTGAGTGTGAGTGAGTGTGGGTGAGTGTGGGTGAGTGTGAGTGTGGGTGAGTGTGGGTGAGTGTGGGTGAGTGTGAGTGTGGGTGAGTGTGGGTGAGTGTGTGGTTGAGTGAGTGGGTGAGTGTGGCTGAGTGTGGGTGTGTGTGGGTGAGTGGGTGGGTGAGTGTGGGTGAATTTGGATGAGTGTGGGTGAGTGTGGGTGAGTGTGAGTGAGTTTGGGTGAGTGGGTGAGTGAGTGAGTGGGTGAGTGAGTGTGTGGGTGAGTTTGGGTGAGTGTGAGTGAGTGTGAGTGAGTGTGAGTGAGTGAGTGGGTGAGTGTGGGTGAGTGGGTGAGTGTGGGTGAGTGTGAGTGAGTTTGGGTGAGTGGGTGAGTGAATGAGTGAGTGGGTGAGTGAGTGAGTGAGTGTGAGTGAGAGTGAGTGAGTGTGAGTGAGTGTGGGTGAGTGAGTGGGTGAGTGAGTGAGTGAGTGGGTGAGTGAGTGAGTGTGAGTAGGTGAGTGTGGGTGAGTGAGTGGGTGAGTGTGGGTGAGTGTGAGTGAGTTTGGGTGAATGGGTGAGTGTGGGTGAGTGTGTGGGTGAGTGAGTGGGTGAGTGAGTGAGTGGGTGAGTGAGTGTGAGTGAGTGGGTGAGTGAGTGGGTGAGTGTGGGTGAGTGAGTAGGTGAGTGTGGGTGAGTGAGTGGGTGAGTGTGGGTGAGTGAGTTTGGGTGAGTGGGTGAGTGTGGGTGAGTGTGTGGGTGAGTTTGGGTGAGTGGGTGAGTGAGTGTGAGTGAGTGTGAGTGAGTGTGGGTGAGTGAGTGGGTGAGTGAGTGAGTGGGTGAGTGTGAGTGAGTGTGGGTGAGTGTGGGTGAGTGAGTGTGAGTGAGTTTGGGTGAGTGTGGGTGAGTGTGAGTGAGTGAGTGGGTGAGTGTGGGTGAGTGAGTGGGTGAGTATGCGTGAGTGTGTGGGTGAGTGTGTAAGTGAGTGAATGTTGGGGTGAGTCTGGGTGAGTGTGGGTGAGTGAGTGTGAGTGAGTTTGGGTGAGTGTGGGTGAATGTGAGTCAGTGAGTGGGTGAGTGTGGGTGAGTGAGTGGGTGAGTGTGGGTGAGTGTGAGTGAGTTTGGGTGAGTGGGTGAGTGTGGGTGAGTGTGTGGGTGAGTTTGGGTGAGTGGGTGAGTGAGTGAGTGAGTGAGTGGGTGAGTGAGTGTGAGTGAGTGTGAGTGAGTGAGTGTGAGTGAGTGTGGGTGAGTGAGTGGGTGAGTGAGTGAGTGAGTGGGTGAGTGTGGGTGAGTGTGGGTGAGTGTGGGTGAGTGAGTGTGAGTGAGTTTGAGTGAGTGTGGGTGAGTGTGAGTGAGTGAGTGAGTGGATGAGTGTGGGTGAGTGAGTGGGTTAGTGTGGGTGAGTGTGTGGGTGAGTATGTAAGTGAGTGAGTGTGTGGGTGAGTCTGGGTGAGTGTGGGTGAGTGAGTGTGAGTGAGTTTGGGTGAGTGTGGGTGAATGTGAGTGAGTGAGTGAGTGGGTGAGTGTGGGTGAGTGAGTGGGTGAGTGTGGGTGAGTGTGAGTTTGGGTGAGTGGGTGAGTGAGTGAGTGTGTGGGTGAGTTTGGGTGAGTGGGTGAGTGTGTGAGTGTGTGAGTGTGTAAGTGAGTGAGTGTGTGGGTGAGTTTGGTTGAGTGGGTGAGTGAGTGAGTGAGTGGGTGAGTGTGAGTGAGTGAGTGGGTGAGTGAGTGATTGGGTGAGTGAGTGGGTGAGTGTGGGTGAGTGTGAGTGAGTTTGGGTGAGTGGGTGAGTGAGTGAGTGAGTCAGTGGGTGAGTGAGTGAGTGGGTGAGTTTGGGTGAGTGTGGGTGAGTGTGAGTGAGTTTGAGTGAGTGGTTGAGTGTGGGTGAGTGTGTGGGTGAGTTTGGGTGAGTGTGAGTGAGTGTGGGTGAGTTTGGGTGAGTGTGAGTGAGTGTGGGTGAGTGTGGGTGAGTGTGGGTGAGTGTGAGTGTGTGGGTGAGTGTGGGTGAGTGAGTGGGTGAGTGTGTAAGTGAGTGAGTGAGTGTGGGTGAGTGTGGGTGAGTGAGTGTGTAAGTGAGTGAGTGTCTGGGTGAGTTTGTGTGTAAGTGAGTGTGTAAGTGAGTGTGTGAGTGTGTAAGTGAGTGTGTAAGTGAGTGAGTGTCTGGGTGAGTTTGTGTGTAAGTGAGTGTGTAAGTGAGTGTGTGAGTGTGTAAGTGAGTGTGTAAGTGAGTGAGTGTGTGGGTGAGTTTGTGTGAGTGTGAGTGAGTGTGTAAGTGAGTGTGTAAGTGAGTGTGTGAGTGTGTAAGTGAGTGTGTAAGTGAGTGAGTGTGTGGGTGAGTTTGTGTGAGTGTGAGTGAGTGTGTAAGTGAGTGTGTAAGTGAGTGTGTAAGTGAGTGTGTAAGTGAGTGTGTAAGTGAGTGAGTGTGTGGGTGAGTGTGTAAGTGAGTGTGTAAGTGAGTGTGTAAGTGAGTGAGTTTGTAAGTGAGTGTGTAAGTGAGTGTGTAAGTGAGTGTGTAAGTGAGTGTGTGAGTGTGTAAGTGAGTGTGAGTGTGTGAGTGTGTGGGTGAGTGTGTAAGTAAGTGTGTAAGAGTGTGAGTGTGTAAGTGAGTGAGTGTGTAAGTGAGTGTGTAAGTGAGTGTGTAAGTGAGTGTGTAAGTGAGTGTGTGAGTGTGTAAGTGAGTGTGTGAGTGTGTGAGTGTGTGGGTGAGTGTGTAAGTGAGTGTGTAAGAGTGTGAGTGTGTAAGTGAGTGTGTAAGTGAGTGTGTAAGTGAGTGAGTGTGTAAGTGAGTGAGTGTGTAAGTGAGTGTGTAAGTGAGTGTGTAAGTGAGTGTGTAAGAGTGTGAGTGTGTAAGTGAGTGAGTGTGTGGGTGAGTCTGGGTACCGATCTGGCTGCTCTCATCGTCAGTCCGGACCACGTGATCCGAGACTAGTTGCTCACAGCTGAGCGTGAGACTTGAGTCGTCCCCACCTCCTCCACCTCCTCCACCTCCTCCACCTCCTCCACCTCCTCCACCTCCTCCGGCAGGCCGAGTCCGAGACACGCGGACCTGTGCCAACCTGGCACGGGACATCCACCTCGTCATTATTAACGAGACCACATCTCATCCACCTCATCATTAACTAGACCACACCTCATCCACCTCATCATTAACTAGACCACACCTCATCCACCTCGTCATTAACTAGATCACACCTCATCCACCTCATCATTAACTAGATCACACCTCATCCACCTCATCCACCTCGTCATCATTGACAAGATCACACCTCGTCCACCTCGTCCTTATTAAGTAGATCACATCTCATCCACCTCATCATTAACTAGATCACACCTCATCCACCTCATCATTAACTAGATCACACCTCATCCACCTCGTCATCATTAACTAGATCACACCTCGTCAACCTCGTCATCACTAACTAGATCACACCTCATCCACCTCATTATTAACTAGATCACACCTCATCCACCTCATCATTACCTAGACCACACCTCATCCACCTCATTATTAACTAGATCACACCTCGTCCACCTCGTCATCACTAACTAGATCACACCTCATCCACCTCATCATTACCTAGACCACACCTCATCCACCTCATCATTAACTAGATCACACCTCGTCCACCTCGTCCTTATTAAGTAGATCACATCTCATCCACCTCGTCATTATAAACTAGATCACACCTCATCCACCTCATTATTAACTAGATCACACCTCATCCACCTCGTCATTAACTAGATCACACCTCATCCACCTCGTTATTAACTAGATCACACCTCATCCACCTCATCATTAACTAGATCACACCTCATCCACCTCATCATTAACTAGACCACACCTCATCCACCTCGTCATTAACTAGACCACACCTCATCCACCTCGTCATTAACTAGACCACACCTCATCCACCTCATCATCATTGACTAGATCACACCTCATCCACCTCATCATCATTGACTAGATCACACCTCATCCACCTCGTTATTATTAACTAGATCACACCTCATCCACCTCATCATTAACTAGATCACACCTCATCCACCTCATCCACCTCATCATCATTAACTAGATCACACCTCATCCATCTCGTCATCACTAACTAGATCACACCTCATCCACCTCATCATTAACTAGATCACACCTCATCCACCTCGTCATCATTAACTAGGTCACACCTCATCCACCTCATCATCATTAACTAGGTCACACCTCATCCACCTCATCATTAACTAGACCACACCTCATCCACCTCATCATCATTAACTAGGTCACACCTCATCCACCTCATCATTAACTAGGTCACACCTCATCCACCTCATCATTAACTAGACCACACCTCATCCACCTCATCATCATTAACTAGATCACACCTCATCCACCTCATCATTAACTAGATCACACCCCGTCCACCTCGTCCTTATTAACTAGATCACACCTCATCCACCTCATTATTACCTAGATCACACCTCATCCACCTCATCATTAACTAGATCACACCCCGTCCACCTCGTCCTTATTAACTAGATCACACCTCATCCACCTCATTATTACCTAGATCACACCTCATCCACCTCATCATTAACTAGATCACACCTCGTCCACCTCGTCATTATTAACTAGATCACACCTCATCCACCTCGTTATTATTAACTAGACCACACCTCGTCCACCTCGTCATTATTAACTAGATCACACCTCATCCACCTCGTTATTATTAACTAGACCACACCTCATCCACCTCATTATTAACTAGATCACACCTCATCCACCTCATCATTAACTAGATCACACCTCGTCCACCTCGTCATTATTAACTAGATCACACCTCATCCACCTCGTTATTATTAACTAGATCACACCTCGTCCACCTCATCATTATTAACTAGATCACACCTCATCCACCTCATCCACCTCGTCATCATTAACTAGACCACACCTCATCCACCTCGTTATCATTGACTAGATCACACCTCATCTACCTCATCATTAACTAGACCACACCTCGTCCACCTCGTCATCATTAACTAGATCACACTTCATCCACCTCGTCATCAATGCTTACCTGTGCTCTCGATTTGAAGGCATCCTCAGTCAGTGCTGAACCACCTCCAGGCAGCAGAGAATCCTACAAAGCAGACGAGAGACTCACTACAGTCTCACTATACACAGTCACACTACACACAGTCACACAGTCTCACTACACACTACACACAGTCACACTACACACTACACACAGTCACACTACACACTACACACAGTCTCACTACACACAGTCTCACTACACACTACACACCACTCACTACACACAGTCTCACTACACACAGTCTCACTACACACCACTCACTACACACAGTCTCACTACACACAGTCACACTACACACTACTCACTACAGACTCACTACACACCACTCACTACACACAGTCTCACTACACACCACTCACTACACACAGTCTCACTACACACCACTCACTACACAGTATCACTACACACCACTCACTACACACCACTCACTACACACCACTCACTACACACCACTCACTACACACAGTATCACTACACACCACTCACTACACACCACTCACTACACACCACTCACTACACACAGTATCACTACACACCAGAGTCTCACTACACACAGTCTCACTACACACCAGACCAGAGTCTCACTACACACCAGAGTCTCACTACACACTACACACAGTCTGACTACACACCACTCACTACACACCAGAGTCTCACTACACACCAGAGTCTCACTACACACCAGACCAGAGTCTCACTACACACTACACACAGTCTGACTACACACCACTCACTACACACCAGAGTCTCACTACACACTACACACAGTCTCACTACACACCACTCACTACACACCAGAGTCTCACTACACACCAGAGTCTCACTACACACCAGAGTCTCACTACACACCAGAGTCTCACTACACACCAGAGTCTCACTACACACCAGAGTCTCACTACACACCAGAGACTCACTACACACCAGAGTCTCACTACACACCAGAGACTCACTACACACCAGAGTCTCACTACACACCAGAGTCTCACTACACACCACTCACTACACACCAGAGACACTACACACCAGAGTCTCACTACACACCACTCACTACACACCAGAGTCTCACTACACACCAGAGTCTCACTACACACAGTATCACTACACACCACTCACTACACACCACACCAGAGTCTTACTACACAGCAGCTGTCTCCCTCGTGTCTCCCCGTGTCTCCCTCGTGTCTCCCCCCACGTCTCTCCCCCGTGTCTCCCCCGTGTCTCCCCACGTGTCTCCCCCCGCGTCTCCCCCCGCGTCTCCCTCGTGTCTCCCCCCGTGTCTCCCCGTGTCTCCCCCCGTGTCTCCCCGTGTCTCCGTGTGTCTCCCCTCGTGTCTCCCCTCGTGTCTCCGTGTGTCTCCCCTCGTGTCTCCCCTCGTGTCTCTCCCCGTGTCTCCCCCTGTGTCTCCCCGTGTCTCCCTCGTGTCTCCGTGTGTCTCCCCTCGTGTCTCCCCTCGTGTCTCTCCCCGTGTCTCCCCCGTGTCTTCCTCGTGTCTCCCTCGTGCCTCCCCCCGTGTCTCCCCGTGTCTCTCCCGTGTCTCTCCCGTGTCTCCCCCGTGTTTCCCCGTGTCTCCCCGTGTCTCCCCGTGTCTCTCCCGTGTCTCCCTCGTGTCTCTCCCCGTGTCTCCCCCGTGTCTCCCCGTGTCTCCCCCCGTGTCTCTCCCCGTGACTCTCCCCGTGTCTCCCCCCGTGTCTCTCCCGTGTCTCCCCCGTGTTTCCCCTCGTGTCTCCCCCCGTGTCTCCCTCGTGTCTCTCCCCGTGTCTCCCCGTGTCTCCCCCCGTGTCTCTCCCCGTGTCTCCCCCGTGTCTCCCCGTGTCTCCCCCCGTGTCTCCCCCCGTGTCTCCCCCCGTGTCTCCCCGTGTCTCCCCCCGTGTCTCTCCCCGTGTCTCCCCCGTGTCTCCCCGTGTCTCCCCCCGTGTCTCCCCCCGTGTCTCCCCGTGTCTCCCCCGTGTCTCCCCTCGTGTCTCTCCCGTGTCTCTCCCGTGTCTCCCCCGTGTCTCCCCTCGTGTCTCCCCCCGTGTCTCCCCGTGTCTCCCCCGTGTCTCCCTCGTGTCTCCCCGTGTCTCCCCCGTGTCTCCCTCGTGTCTCCCCCGTGTCTCCCTCGTGTCTCCCCCCGCGTCTCCCCCCGCGTCTCCCTCGTGTCTCCCCCCGTGTCTCCCCGTGTCTCCCCCCGTGTCTCCCCGTGTCTCCGTGTGTCTCCCCTCGTGTCTCCCCTCGTGTCTCCGTGTGTCTCCCCTCGTGTCTCCCCTCGTGTCTCTCCCCGTGTCTCCCCCTGTGTCTCCCCGTGTCTCCCTCGTGTCTCCGTGTGTCTCCCCTCGTGTCTCCCCTCGTGTCTCTCCCCGTGTCTCCCCCGTGTCTTCCTCGTGTCTCCCTCGTGCCTCCCCCCGTGTCTCCCCGTGTCTCTCCCGTGTCTCTCCCGTGTCTCCCCCGTGTTTCCCCGTGTCTCCCCGTGTCTCCCCGTGTCTCTCCCGTGTCTCCCTCGTGTCTCTCCCCGTGTCTCCCCCGTGTCTCCCCGTGTCTCCCCCCGTGTCTCTCCCCGTGACTCTCCCCGTGTCTCCCCCCGTGTCTCTCCCGTGTCTCCCCCGTGTTTCCCCTCGTGTCTCCCCCCGTGTCTCCCTCGTGTCTCTCCCCGTGTCTCCCCGTGTCTCCCCCCCGTGTCTCTCCCCGTGTCTCCCCCGTGTCTCCCCGTGTCTCCCCCCGTGTCTCCCCCCGTGTCTCCCCCCGTGTCTCCCCGTGTCTCCCCCCGTGTCTCTCCCCGTGTCTCCCCCGTGTCTCCCCGTGTCTCCCCCCGTGTCTCCCCCCGTGTCTCCCCGTGTCTCCCCCGTGTCTCCCCTCGTGTCTCTCCCGTGTCTCTCCCGTGTCTCCCCCGTGTCTCCCCTCGTGTCTCCCCCCGTGTCTCCCCGTGTCTCCCCCGTGTCTCCCTCGTGTCTCCCCGTGTCTCCCCCGTGTCTCCCTCGTGTCTCCCCCGTGTCTCCCTCGTGTCTCCCCCGTGTCTCCCCCGTGTCTCCCTCGTGTCTCTCCCCGTGTCTCCCCCGTGTCTCCCCGTGTCTCCCCCGTGTCTCTCCCCGTGTCTCTCCCCGTGTCTCCCCCCGTGTCTCCCCGTGTCTCCCCGTGTCTCCCCGTGTCTCTCCCCGTGTCTCCCCCCGTGTCTCTCCCCGTGTCTCCCCCGTGTCTCTCCCCCGTGTCTCCCCCGTGTCTCCCCGTGTCTCCCCCGTGTCTCCCCGTGTCTCCCCCGTGTTTCCCCTCGTGTCTCTCCCCGTGTCTCCCCCCGTGTCTCCCCCCGTGTCTCCCCGTGTCTCCCCGTGTCTCCCTCGTGTCTCCCCGTGTCTCCCTCGTGTCTCCCTCGTGTCTCCCCCGTGTCTCCCCGTGTCTCCCTCGTGTCTCCCCCGTGTCTCCCCGTGTCTCCCTCGTGTCTCCCCGTGTCTCCCCGTGTCTCCCTCGTGTCTCCCCGTGTCTCTCCCCGTGTCTCCCCCCGTGTCTCTCCCGTGTCTCCCCCGTGTTTCCCCTCGTGTCTCCCCCCGTGTCTCCCTCGTGTCTCTCCCCGTGTCTCCCCGTGTCTCCCCGTGTCTCCCCCCGTGTCTCTCCCCGTGTCTCCCCCGTGTCTCCCCCCGTGTCTCCCCCCGTGTCTCCCCCCGTGTCTCTCCCCGTGTCTCCCCCGTGTCTCCCCGTGTCTCCCCACGTGTCTCCCCCCGTGTCTCCCCCGTGTCTCCCCGTGTCTCCCCCGTGTCTCCCCTCGTGTCTCTCCCGTGTCTCTCCCGTGTCTCCCCCGTGTCTCCCCTCGTGTCTCCCCCCGTGTCTCCCCGTGTCTCCCCCGTGTCTCCCTCGTGTCTCCCCCGTGTCTCCCTCGTGTCTCCCCCGTGTCTCCCCCGTGTCTCCCTCGTGTCTCTCCCCGTGTCTCCCCCGTGTCTCCCCGTGTCTCCCCCGTGTCTCTCCCCGTGTCTCTCCCCGTGTCTCCCCCCGTGTCTCCCCGTGTCTCCCCCGTGTCTCTCCCCGTGTCTCCCCCCGTGTCTCTCCCCGTGTCTCCCCCGTGTCTCTCCCCCGTGTCTCCCCCGTGTCTCCCCGTGTCTCCCCCGTGTCTCCCCGTGTCTCCCCCGTGTTTCCCCTCGTGTCTCTCCCCGTGTCTCCCCCCGTGTCTCCCCCCGTGTCTCCCCGTGTCTCCCCGTGTCTCCCTCGGGTCTCCCTCGTGTCTCCCCCGTGTCTCCCCGTGTCTCCCTCGTGTCTCCCCCGTGTCTCCCCGTGTCTCCCTCGTGTCTCCCCGTGTCTCCCCGTGTCTCCCTCGTGTCTCCCCGTGTCTCTCCCCGTGTCTCCCTCGTGTCTCCCCGTGTCTCTCCCGTGTCTCCCCCGTGTCTCCCCGTGTCTCCCCGTGTCCCCTCGTGTCTCTCCCCGTGTCTCCCCGTGTCTCCCTCGTGTCTCCCCCGTGTCTCCCCGTGTCTCTCCCCCGTGTCTCCCCGTGTCTCCCCGTGTCTCCCTCGTGTCTCCCCGTGTCTCCCTCGTGTCTCCCCGTGTCTCTCCCGTGTCTCCCCCGTGTCTCCCCGTGTCTCCCCGTGTCTCCCTCGTGTCTCCCCGTGTCTCACGGCGCGGTCACCATCAGCGATCTGTCCCCGCGTGTTTTTCCGCACGGCGCGCAGCGTCACGTGGGGAAGGGGCTCTGGGGGACTGGGCGGGTGGGGGAGGGTGAGGGGTGGGTGGGGGACTGTGGGGGGTGGGTGGGTGGGTAGGGTACTGGGTCTGGGTGGGTGGGTGAGTGTGGGTCTGGGTGGGTGGGTGAGTGTGGGTCTGGGTGGGTGGGTGAGTGTGGGTCTGGGTGGGTGGGTGAGTGGGGGTCTGGGTGGGTGGGTGAGTGGGGGTCTGGGTGGGTGGGGGGTAGGTGAGTGGGGGTCTGGGTGGGTGAGTGGGGGTCTGGGTGGGTGAGTGGGGGTCTGGGTGGGTGGGTGAGTGGGGGTCTGGGTGGGTGGGGGGTAGGTGAGTGGGGGTCTGGGTGGGTGAGTGGGGGTCTGGGTGGGTGAGTGGGGGTCTGGGTGGGTGAGTGGGGGTCTGGGTGGGTG